ATAAGATTGATAAACCACTGGCCAGACTTATCCAAAAGAAGAGAGAAAGGACCCAAATTAATAAAATTATGAATGAAAGGGGAGAGATCATGACCAACACCAAGGAAATAGAAACAATTATTAGAAATTATTATCAACAACTCTATGCCAATAAACTGAGCAATCTGGATGAAATGGAGGCCTTCCTGGAAACCTATAAGCTGCCAAGACTGAAACAGGAAGAAATTGACAACCTGAATAGGCCAATAACCAGTAACGAGATTGAAGCAGTGATCAAAAACCTCCCAAAAAAACAAGAGTCCAAGGCCTGATGGATTCCCTGGGGAATTCTACCAAACATTCAAAGAAGAAATAATACCTATTCTACTGAAGCTGTTTCAAAAAATAGAAACAGAAGGAAAACTTCCAAATTCATTCTATGAGGCCAGCATTACCTTAATCCCCAAACCAGGCAAAGACCCCATCAAAAAGGAGAATTTCAGACTGATATCCCTGATGAAGATGGATTCCAAAATCCTCCACAAAATCCTAGCTAATAGGATTCAACAATACATTAAAAGGATCATCCACCACAACCAAGTGGGATTTATCCCGGGGATGCAAGTGTGGTTCAACATTCGCAAATCAATCAATGTGATAGAACACATTAATAAGAGGAGGGAGAACCATATGGTCCTCTCAATTGATGCAGAAAAAGCATTTGACAAAATACAACATCCTTTCCTGATTAAAACTCTCCAGAGTATAAGGATAGAGGGACCATTCCTCAAGCTCATAAAATCCATCTATGAAAAACCCACAGCAAATATCATCCTCAATGGGGAAAAGCTGAGAGCCTTTCCCTTAAGATCAGGAACACGTCAAGGGTGCCCACTCTCACCACTGTTGTTCAACATAGTACGAGAAGTCCTAGCAACAGCAATCAGACAACAAAAAGAAATAAAAGGTATTCAAATTGGCAAAGAAGTCAAAGTCTCTCTTCGCAGACGACATGATACTTTATGTGGAAAACCCAAAAGACTCCACCCCCAAATTACTAGAACTCATACAGCAATTCATTAATGTGGCAGGATAAAAAATCAATGCACAGAAATCAGTGGCTTTCTTATACATTAACAACGCAACTGTGGAAAGAGAAATTAAAGAAACGATTCCATTTACAATAGCACCAAAAACCATAAGATACCTCGGAATAAACCTAACCAAAGAGGTAAAAGTTCTATACTCTAGGAACTACAGAACACTCATGAAAGAAATTGAAAAAGACACAAAAAGATGGAAAAATATTCCATGCTCATGGATCAGAAGAATAAACATTGTTAAAATGTCTATGCTACCCAGAGCAATCTTCAATGCCATCCCGATCAAAATTCCAATGACATTTTTCAAAGTGCTGGAACAAACAATTCTAAAATTTGTATGGAATCAGAAAAGACCCTGAATCGCCAAGGAGATGTTGAAAAAGAAAAACAAAGCTGGGGGCATCATGTTGCCCAATTTCAAGCTATATTACAAAGCAGTGATCACCAAGACAGCATGGTACTGGCACAAAAACAGACATACAGACCAATGGAACAGAATAGAGAACCCAGATATGGACCCTCAACTCTATGGTCAAATAATCTTTGACAAAGCAGGAAAAAACATGCAATGGAAAAAAGACAGTCTCTTCAATAAATGGTGCTGAGAAAATGGACAGCCACATGCAGAAGAATGAAACTCTACCATTCTCTAACACCATTCACAAAGATAAACTCAAAGTGGATAAAAGACCTCAATGTGAGACAGGAATCCATCAAAATCCTAGAGGAGAACATAGGCAGTAACCTCTTTGACATCGGCCACAGCAACTTCTTTCAAGATACATCTCCAAAAGCTAGTGAAACAAAAGCAAAAATGAACTTTTGGGACTTAATCAAGATAAAAAGCTTCTGCACAGCAGAGGAAACAGTCAACAAAACAAAGAGGCAACCCACAGAATGGGAGAAGATGTTTGCAAATGGCACTACAGATAAAGGGCTGGTATCCAAGATCTATAAAGAACTTCTCAAACTCAACACCCAAAAAACAAATAATCAAGTCAAAAAGTGGGCAGAAGATATGAAAAGACACTTCTCTGAAGAAGACATACAAATGGCTAACAGACACATGAAAAAAATGTTCATCCATCATTAGCCATCAGGGAAATCCAAATCAAAACCACATTGAGATACCAGCTTACACCAGTCAGAATGGCAAAAATGGACAGGGAAAGAAACAACAAGTTGGAGAGGTTGTGGAGAAAGGGGAACCCTCTTACACTGTTGGTGGGAATGCAAGTTGGTACAGCCACTTTGGAAAACAGTATGGAGGTTCCTCAAAAATTTAAAAATAGAGCTACCCTATGACCCAGCAATTGCACTCCTGGGTATTTACCCCAAAGACACAGATGTAGTTGAAAAGAAGGGCCATATGCACCCCAATGTTCATAGCAGCAATGTCCGCAATAGCCAAACTGTGGAAAGAGCCGAGATGGCCTTCAACAGATGAATGGATAAAGAAGATGTGGTCCATATATACAATGGAATATTACTCAGCCATCAGAAAGGATGAATACCCAACTTTGACATCAACATGGATGGGACTGGAGATTACGCTAAGTGAAATAAGTCAAGCAGAGAAAGTCAATTATTATATGGTTTCACTTATTTGTGGAACATAAGGAATAGCATGGAGGACATTAGGAGAAGGAAGGGAAAAATGGGGGGGGGGTGGAATTGGAGGGAGAGATGAACCATGAGAGACTATGGACCTGAGAAACAAACAGGGTTTTAGAGGGGAGGGGGGAGGGGGGATTGGTTAGCCTGGTGATGGGTATTAAGGAGGGCACGTACTGCATGGAGCACTGGGTGTTATATGAAAACAATGTTTCGTGGATCACTACATCAAAAACTAATAATGTATTGTATGGTGACTAACATAACATAATAAAATTTTAAAAAGATAACTTTGTCTCTATTTTTAATAGTTTTAGAACTTACTTTGCTCTTTGTTGCATTCGTTAGAGGGTCACAATCTTTTGTTTTTTTAATGACAAGCAATACTAAGGCAGATTGTAGAGAACTTGTTTTTGTTTTTAAGGTTTTATTTATTTATTTGACAGAGAGATAGAAAGAGAGCACAAGTAGGCAAAGTGGCAGGCAGAGGGAGAGGGAGAAGCAGACTCCCCACTGTGCAGGGAGCCCGATGCGGGGCTCGATCCCAGGACCCTGGGATCATGACCTGAGCTGAAAGCAGACACCTAACAGACTGAGCCACCCAAGTGCTCCAGAATGTCACAATCTTAAATAAGAATGACAAGAGCAAAGTCCTGCCTTCTCCTGATTTTAGTGATGTACTCTCCTGCTGTGACATTTTTTTTTTTTGATGCCTTTGGGATTCAATTTGATAAAAATTTTCTTAGAATTTTTGCATCTATATCATACATGGAATTGGTTTCTAGTTATTTTGGCCATGTTGGAGTTATGCTAGCTTTTTAAAATGAACCCACTGAGTTTTACATATCTTGATCTGAAATAATTTGAACAATGGTTGTTAATCACTGATTATCTGTTCTTTGAAAGTAAAACAAATAATAGTTAAATCATCTGGAACTACTTCCTTTTTCGACATGATTTCTTTAACTCTTCTTGTGTGTTCAGCAAGTATTGAAATGCTTGTGTCTCTTATTTCTTCTGGAGTTAATTCTTGAAATTTATATTTTGCCAGGAAAACCTACTATTTCTTCTGTGGTTTCAAATTTATTGCCTATAAGTTGATTATGTGATTCTCTGAAAATTCATTTAATTTCTTCTGACGTATAGTTAAATCTACTTTATCAATCCCTGTGCTATGTTCTTGTTTTTCCTTTTCTTCTTAAGCCAGGTTTTCTTAACCAAACCAATCTGTTTATTGGTTTTTTAACAAATCAACTTTTGATTTTCATTATTCTTTCTATATTTCTTTTGTTTTTTTTCTATATAATTATTTTCAATTTATTTTTATTAATTCCTTTTACTTTCTCTGTTTATTGTTTTTTGTTTTCTGAAATTGTTCATTTGTCTGTCTTTTTTGTTTAATAATAAAAGCTTTTAAGACTATAAATTTTCCTCTGATATCTATATAAGTTTTGATATAAAATATCTTGTGTTAATTTTAAGATAATATACTTTTGGTTTTGGTTAAGTTTTGGTTGTAGAGTTTTAGATTAATTAAATTATGATCAGAGAATATATTCATAAAAACTCTACATTTTGGGGAAGCATTAAAGTTTTATTTATGTCCAAGTCTGCAACAGTTTTTGCAAATGCTTCATGGACATATGAGAATACCCAGTGGGCAAAAGTTTTACATATGGAATCAAGCTTTCTGATTTGTAGATTGTTGTTTCTGCAATTAACTTTTTTATCTTGGTTTATTTTTGTCTGCTTGATTTATCAAATTCTAAAATAGGTGAATTGAAGTTCTTCCCCAAAGTTATACCTTGGAGGGTTCCTCTTAGGTTTTCAGATGTTCTAGTTTTAAACTTTTCCTGTTATATTCTGTGGTGCCTAAAGGTTTATGTTCTTGCTATCTGGTTGTTGGAATAAAGATCACACAATATCTCTCCTTTTTGTATTTAATGTGTTGGGCTTTGAATTCTTCTTTATCTGATATTCATATTGCTACTTCAGCTCCCTGTCATTTGCGTTTTCCTGTTACATCTTTCTTCATCCTTTCATTATCAATTTCACTTTCACTATGTTTCTTGTACAAAGAATATTTAAAACTCACTGCCCACCATTGTTGCTTTCACCCTTCATTTCCTCCTAAGATTTTTGTTCTAATTTCATCCTCATTAGGTAAGTAATTCCTTGCATAATTTCCTCCATCACATGGGTGTTTTTCATTTGCTCTTAAGAATAATATGTCAGTTGGGTTTGGGATTCTTGGATCATATTCCCTTTCCTCAAATATCTGTAAACTATTCCTTTGTCTCATAGCTTCCAATGTTGCAAAAGAAAAATCCAGTGCTAATCTATGCTCTTGGCTTTGTTGGCAACATGTTCTTTCAAACTGCAAGTTTAGGAGAGGTACTCTGTCGCCTTGGTGTTCAGAAATTTCTCTGGAATAGTTCCAGATGTGTGCCTTTTTGAAATTAATCTTGTCTAGAATTCAGTGAGCCCTTTCATTCTGAAGACCTGTTTCCTTTTTCTGCTCAACTAAATTTCCCTTCGTTATTTCTGGGTGTCCTCCTTTATTTTGTTCTCTCTTCCTGAAGTCCAACTATTTGCATACTAGATCTTCTAACAAGTTCCCAAGGGATGTTCATGCTGGTGGTCCAAGGAACTGACTAACGAGTGAGCTAGAAGATGCAAGATTTACTGTCTGTGCTCACCTCAGGCTACAAGTATTGGTAGTAACACGTGGTTAGGAGAAACTGAGACCCAGGCAGAACACTCTCTGCCCCTCTGGATGGTGAGAAAGTTCCACAGTTCTCCAAAAAGAGCTGAGGTGTTGACTTCTGTACATCTGTTCTCATCGCTCTGAGCTTGGGTACTACTCTTCGGAATGAGCCCAGTGCCCAGGGCTCCTTTGCCCAAAACATTTCTGGCTTCCCTCAGACACTTGGGTGCTGACAAAATGGCACCAGCATGCTTCTTAGAGTGTCCAGACATTATTCAGATGCCAGCCCTCCTCACCTAGGGAAGTGAACCAGGAAATGCAGATTGGTGGCCTCATTCTTTTTTTTTTTTTTTAAAGATTTCATTCATTTATTTATTTGAGACAGAGAGAGAGACAGAGAGCATGAGAGGGAGGAGGGTCAGAGGGAGAAGCAGACTCCCTGCCGAGCAGGGAGCCCGATGCGGGACTCGATCCCGGGACTCCAGGATCATGACCTGAGCCGAAGGCAGTCGCTTAACCAACTGAGCCACCCAGGCGCCCGGCCTCATTCTTTTTTAATTTTTTATTTGCGAGAGAGAGAATGAGAGCATGAGAGGGAGGAGGGTCGGAGGGAGAAGCAGACTCCCTGCCGAGCAGGGAGCCCGATGTGGGACTCGATCCTGGGACTCCAGGATCATGACCTGAGCCGAAGGCAGTCGCTTAACTAACTGAGCCACCCAGCTGCCCTGGTGGCCTCATTCTTGACCTCATTCTGGGAACAATCTTATCTGTGTTCCCTTTGTATAAGGATAGCAAGTTTGGTCAGCATTACTCATGTGGGAATATTGGGGTGATGGTGATTTCTAAATGGAAACCAACCAGAGGAGCTCATTCAAGTCAGGACTCACTCATTCCTGATATTCTACTCTGCATCAGGCACTATCCTAGATGCTGAACAAAGAAGCTATTGAAAAACAATTTCTACTTTCAAAACTGGATCTCACTTTCACAATCTCATCTGACCCCAATCACAGCCCTATGAGGAGGTTCTTATTTTATCACCATTTGACAGATGAGGAAACAGACAGAGAATTCAGTGTCTTACCCAATGTCTGTTGAGTAAAGGGAAAACCAGGGCTCAAGCACAGTTCCAGTGACTGGCCACTGTCTACTACACTTTGCTATCCAGATCAGGCTGTTTTTCCAGTACCCCACTTCTAGTTTTCCTTGGCGTGTCAAACATGTTTCATGATCTCCCTCCTAGTAACACCCCTGTTGGTTCTTAACTGCATCTGTCTACACAATTTACTACATTAGGGACACAAATCCACAGCTGTGCCAGAACCAGCTGCAGGGCACTGAGCTCATTAATGACCATGAAAACCTCTTCTTTGCTTTGTCTCCACTGCCATCTCTGTCTCGGTCTCCATCTCTACTTGGAAAGTGTGTCCTCAGCTGGATGCAACAGCCCAACATCTGGGATATCCAGCTGTGGAAAAGGCCATGTGGATGGCTTCCCGTCACTGCCAAACAGATGAGAGATCACATCCCCCGAGCTTTACTCCGAGCCCCCCTGTCAGAGACTTGCCTTCATCAAGGCTCACACTGAAGCTGGAAGCCCTGCTGCTTATCCAGCACAGGGGAGACCAATGAAGAAACTCCAAAAGGCTGGCTTTGTTATGAATTTTCCTCATTTGGTGATATCCCCGGGTGAACCATTAAGACTTGAACACCGAAGATTAAAGCAGTCTGTTTTAGAGAGGAACATCTGGTTCATTTGTGCTCTTAGCAGTAGCGGTGCCAGCCAGTTTCATTTCTGCTGCTCTGATGGCAGGGCCAGCTTCACATGAGCTGAAGAGGGCCAGAACGAGGCTGTCACTGCTCAGTCCTGAGGAATCCTCATCATTTGGCCTTCAGGCCTTTGCCCGCACTGTCCCTGCCATCTGGGATGCCTTTCCTACCTCCTTGCCACCTGTTTAAATCCTGCCTCCTCCCTCAAGCCTTCAGCTCCCAGTAGGCTCTCCTGTCCCCCATTATAACACTCTGTATCTACCATTCTCTTTGTTATTCTGTGTCTGTTCCCTTTATTGCCATTTTGTGCACAAGGTATACCTGGAAAGTCTCATGTGTGTGTGAAGCTCTTAAAAGACTTGCCAAAGTGAGGCCAGAGATAGTAGCAAAGTCAAACTAAAACCCAAGTCTCTTTCCTCCCAGCCTGTATTTTCTTTGACTCACTTGATCTGTGACTCATCTGTCCCAGTGCAGTTGACATGCCAGGCCCCTGTCCACTGACTGGGCTGGGATTTTGTTCTGGATAGAGTTTGTTGTTATATCAATGAGGTCACGTCATGACAGTGGTTATCATTTGGCATGGGTTGGGGGTCCCTTCTGCCCCGGCTCTACTAAGGCATATATTCATCTGTCTTCCAGTTCTGGCAGTGTGGCCAGTTGGTGGAAGTGGTGGTTGATGATCACCTACCTGTCCTGGATAAGGAGTACCTCTTTGTGCATCCTCACAACAACAACCAAGAGTTTTGGCCCTGCCTGCTGGAGAAAGCTTATGCCAGGTAAGAGTGGCCGGCCCTCTGACCAGGCCTTGCCTGCCCAGCTGCTTGCCCTGATGGATGCCGCACAGCAGCTAGCCCTAGGATTTTCGGCAGCTCTGCATGCAAGTGATGCCCTGGGAGCATCAGAGCCTTTGCCACCTGGTTGGGTATCCCCCATAAACAATCACTGTATGCTGTGTTGGGGCCAAGGGAGGAACCCAGAGATACATAGCAAGGGGTGGGCAGGGCAGGACTGAACAGAAGTATGTACTAATAACACTGTTATTGCAAGGGCTGGGATAAGAGCCCAAATAAAATATAATATCATGGTTGACGGTCAAAGTCTGATGAGAGAACAGAGGGAAAACATTCTTGACTTTCTGACTCACAGAGAGTCAGGCTAAGGCTGTATAGAGGATGGGGCATTGAGTGAGGCCTTGAGGGATGGGTAGAATTTCAGCAAGGGGAAAGGGGATATGTTGGAGAATTATTCCCAACCATGGGAATGATTCAAGCGGAGACCTAGGGACAGGACAGTTCAAAGTGAGATCAGGCAGTTGGGGGCCAAGTATGGCTACTATGAGATTGTATTTGGGGAGGGGGGAGCAGGGCAGGAGTTGCTGGTTATTATATGGTCCAAGCACCGTGATTCAAGGACTACCTTCTAGTGTTAACAAGATTAAGGACTTATAAACACCCCAATTCATATGTTTTATTTAGACTCTTTGAGTTGCATCTATTCAGAAGATGTGTATTGAGCATTTAACCATAGGCCAGGCATTGTGCTTGGCACTGGGATAAAGACTCTGGGACTGGCTTAAGTGGGTGTGAGAAAGAGTATGTGTTATGTGGAAGAGGTCACTGTCACAGAGACCTACACAGGTGCAGACACATCAGAGCTAGAAATCAATGTTGGGAGACAAAGGGACAATCCCTTTTAGGAGAAAATGAGTTAGTGGAGTGTCACCAAATCATCTTCCCTAAAAATCATCATCACCAACCGCATTTTACAGATTGGGAAGCCAAGACTCTAAATAGTCATGTGATAGTAATCACTAGCCTGAATCTGCTGGGGTTTTCAGTTATTTGACCTAGGGACATCATTTAATAAGACTGAAGACCCTGCTGGGTCTGGTCCTGGGCCATGAGGATGCTAACAACCCCACAGACCATCCCAACACTCCAGTCCCTGTCCTTCCGGAGGTCACAATCTGAACAGCCAAGCATTGCAAGAGCTCTCTCTCTCTCTCTCTTTTTTTTTTTTTTTTTTTTTTTTGCATTCTGTCTGTTGAACCCATTTGTGGAAAACTAAAGCTATTGCTCATTTCCAGTGTCAAGAAGAGCTGTTCATTAGCATTTGAGAAGGAACCCCAGCTAACAGCCAAGGTTGTTGAACCGATCCATATGTTCAGGGAGGTTAATTTGCTTCTAAGCTACTTACCCAAACACTGCCATTTCCTTCCAGTATGGCTTCAGCTCTCACTGTTTCAGGGCTTCGTTTTTTCCTTCTGTGAAAGGGGGAGCGTGCCAGTTCACTTGGAGAATTAGAAACCTTGTGGAATGAAATGATGACTTTGACCCCATTTTGTTAACAGTCGACCTAAAGCAGTCATTCAGCTTAAAAAGAAAATGGGAAACTGGACCCAGAATCTACATTCTACCGCCTAAAGAAATCTAGTGGAGGATAAAATGTTTCAAACTAGTAAGCTGTTAAAGCTTTCCCCTCTATCCAAAGAAGGGGATCATAGAATACAGGAGTGAGTGTAATGGAATTAGTTATCAGGGCTGGAGGGGACCTCTGTCAGCCTCGAGTCCTACCTCCTCCTTTGAAAGATGAAGAAACTGATACGAAGAGCACTGAAATGAGTTGCCCTAGGTCACGTGGTGTTCGAGGCCAAGCGGGGATGAGGACCATTCCCCTTGTTGTGGGCTTTTCCATCATCCCTTGATGCTGCCAGTTTTATAGGAAAGAGATTTGTCTTTTTGCTTCTTTGGAACTCAGTGTCGGGCACACAACAACCACAGCACGAATATGGAGAACCCATCCCTCCCCATGGAGATGACCCAACTTCACCCCCAAGAATGTAGACCAGTGAACACATGCATCCCAAACTTTCAAATATCCTTGCAACTGAGAAGTCTGGAAATGAATTGGTTGAGTCGGTCAGATCTACACTGGCAGGTGTTCCCCCCCCCCCAGAGGTCGTAAAATAGGAGATCGTAGGACAAAATCCGTTAGGTTGCATATCATCCTGTACAGAATCTGGGCAGTTAAGAATCCCAGCATTTTAGCATCCTTTCTGATTCTGATTTAGATGTCTGAATTCTTCCCTCTTTCCTAGCATTGCTGGGCAGGTAGACATTTCCCCCAAATGAGGCTGAAGCACAGAGATGAGAACAAGGCACTCTCCGAATTCCTGGGCTCAGGTGACAAGGTGAAGTCACAGGTGTGGTGAACACAGTTCTCTCTATCTTTCCTTCCCTTTCTGTTTCCTGTCAGCAAAGGGGGCTAAGAATAGTTGCCATGTTCCTGAAGCATCAGCAGGATTTGTGAGCTCATGTTTGTGAAGCAGAGAGATAGCTCCTTGTCAAAATAGCCAGCTGCTGCTGAGACAGGCTTTGTGGGCATTGTGGAGAGACAGTGAGAGAGGGGCTGCTGGCCTTCCCCATGCATTGGGTCTCTCTGTGGCAACTGCGGAGTGGTGTGAGTGCAAGACCTCAGACAGGGCCCCTAGACACTGAGGCAGTGGGCCTGAAGTGCCGGGACAGGGCCTGGCTGCTTTTCTGGAATGGCCCTGGTGCAGCCCCATTTAAAGCCAGGGAGGGCCCCTGAGTGCCTCACCAAGAAGGGGCTGTTGCAGTGTGGGAGGTCATGCCGGTGGGCTCTAGAATGGGTTCCAGAACCACAGTCTTTGTGAAATTCCAGGACTCTCAACAAAGCCCCTCCTAATCTCAGACCAGAGCCAGAATACCTGTGGGAAATCAAGAGTCAGGCGTTCAGACCCAACTGGGCATGACCATTATCAAAGGCAGGCTTTGCCTTTGACTAAGTAAATACCCCAGAGATAAGAGTCTAGTACCAGGCATAACCCCGGGTCAGGGAGAGGGAGAGACAGGAAGATAAGATTTAGAACCAGTTTTATAACAAGTTGAGATCAATCTGTCACGTGGCAGTTTCTGTAGAATGGCCTTCTGTGTATCCTTAGCTTTCTGTTATAAGGGACATTTAAGCCATCCATGGCATTTGTGCCTGGGACGTTGTCCTGCTCTGAGTGGCTGTTTGACCTGTATTTGCTCAAGTGAATTTATGTGAATTCGGGGTGGTGCCCGGGCAGAAAGAGTGGCAGGGGTGGGAATACGGGAGAAAGGACTGAGGGGCCCCACGAGCTTACCCAGTCAACCTCGCTGTTTCCGGGGGCAAAAGACCCAGAAGGGAGGGTTGCAGGTCCCCTAGAGGAGCAGCAGGGAGGAACTGCCGGATCTGCATTACCAGAAAGCAAGCCTTGGTCAGAGCTTCCCTACTGCCACTGGCCTGTGACAGTGGGACAGATGAGAGTGTCCCCCGGCGAGAAGCCTGAGTGACTGGGACAGTGGTGAGGAAGACTCCCACTGAGGAGCTTTGACACCAGGAGGCAGGGTTTTCTCTCCGCCGGGCCTCAGCTTCATGTCCTTTGTTGGTTTGCCCTGTCTGCATTTTAGGGTTCCCTGGGAGGCTTTCCAGTTCACCCCACTGACAGGAAATCAAGTTCTCAAAACAAATCTGCCCCTGTCTGGCCCTGCTTCAGTGGTCAACGTAGCCTGTCTCCCAGGAGCACTGTCCTAGGCCCCGGTCCCACCATGCGCTTCCCCTCTGGGGATCCTTCCTCCCTGGAATGCCTGTCCCACTGGCCTTACCTGGATAAACTCAGCTCAGAGGTGCCCCTCCCTCAGGCCCCCCTGGGCCCTCCTAGCAAATAGACCCCCAAGGGCTGCAAAGAAACTAGACGAGTCATTCTAAGGAGAGTGTCCCGGTGGCAGAGTGCGGTTGGGAAGGAGTGACAACTGCGGAGGTTGAAGCAGGGCGAGTGTGGTTTTGCCGTGCGCAGCAGTGACAGCCGCGAGCATGGCCATGGCTAGCCACACGTCACAGCAGCCCGTGGAGGCGGGGACTGTCCCATGCCACTTCCCCAGCCGACAAAGGGGGCCGTAGGAAATCTCAGCCTCCTGCCCACAATTGAGAGCTCACGAGAGGGGAAACGGGGCGTCGAACCAGAGTGGTTTGGCTCTTGAATCTGGAATCTTTCGGCCTCCCTAGTGAGTGCCTGGGGCTGCTCAGGTTTGGAGGAGAACAGGGAGGAGGGGAAATGGGGCAGAAACCCCACGCAAGAGTGCAAAGAGGTGCTTTAGAGGACACGTATGAGGGTTCCACGTGGCTTGCTTGGAGGATGTGTTATGTAATCGTCCTCACCTGTTACCTTCGGTACAGTCGATTGGCCTCCCTGATGATCCTGGGATGAGGGGGTTAGTTCTGAGAGCGGGGATTCTGGACCACACTTAGCACTGCAAGAGAAGAGAGGCTGCTTTTGGCCGAAGTAGTCACTGGGGTTGTTGGCTGAGCTCCTGGAGGGCAGGTCTTGCCCATCTTTGAGCACTCCGTGCCTAGCACAGTACCCCTCACACAACAAGGACTGACCACTATTGTTAAACTGAATAGGAAACAGTGGATATTCATCATCATTATGTCCAATGTCTATTAAGGCCTTGCCATGTGCCAGGTTAAGCAACTTGTTCAGGTCAAGCAGCTAAATATGTGGAGAGGTTGGGATTCGATCCCTGGCCTGAGGCTCCAGCACGTGCACTCTAACCCCTGCACAGTATTGCTGCTTGTGGGGCTGCCCAGCCCCGGGAGACCAGGGTAAGGATGGTGGCACTTCACCGGAACCTTCGTCCAGGTGAATAGGAGGCAGGTAGACATAGCCCAGGGCCAGATTGGGCAGTCCTTCACTGCGCAACATGCCGAGGTCAGGTGTGCAACCTCCCTTCCCAGAGCGTCTCACCGAAGTCCCCACAGGGGTTGATGTGACTTTCCCCCGTTCCAGGTTTCATGGATCCTATGCCAACCTGCACTACGGCTTCCTTCCTGCTGCCCTGGTGGACCTCACGGGAGGGGCGGTCACCAGCATCGACCTGCACTTTCCTTCTGACCTGGTGATGATGGTGAAGACAGCAGCCAAGGCAGGCTCCCTGATGGCCTGTGCCACCCTGGCTGAGGTGAATAGACTCTACTCCTCGCCCAGGAGTATCTAGCGACCAGCCCGTTCAGCTAGTAAGGGGCATGGCCAAGCTGGCGCCGTGCCTCATGTCATCCTCACAGCAGTCCTCCCTCTGAGATAGGGGCTGCAGAATTCACTTGCAGAAGAGGAAATGGGCTCAGAGAGGCTAAGGAAAATGCTCAGCATCACACCAGCAGTAAGTGGCTGAGTCGGGTTCAAATGCCTGCTGCCTGACTCTGAAGCCTTTGCCTAGCACTCCCATGGGACCAGGCGCAGTGGGGTCCAGAGGGACTGGGCAGCCCTTTGATTCTCCCTGGCTCCAAAGGCAGCATCCCAAGGTCAATGTGTCCCATTTTGAGAAGACCCTCTAAATTATTTTGGAGTCTGAGACAGCCAGCTCCCTATCCATGAGGGTATTTCCTGCACCCTGTAAACATGTTGGGCTTTGAGTCACATACCCCTAATCTGAAATGCCACCCAAAAACTAATATGCACTTTAAACCCCAGTTGCTCACAGCACGGGGGTGGTGGGGTATTCCCGACTCCTACAAGACACCCAGCCGGTTGCAGGAGGAAACAGTCCAGGTTGGCCTCAGGACTTAGTGGGGTTCTGTCAGTAATGGGGTAGTCTCTGGGGCCTCAACCACCTGGCAGTCTTCAAACTCTGTCCCTCTAGAAAAGAGTTCCAAGAACAGTGTGAGTCCGTGGGACGCCTCTCATCCTGCCACAGCTTAGCTGCTGAGTGAACTGTGCTTTTCTGCTTCTCTGAGGAACCTGTGAATGTGTAATGCTTGGTCTGCTTTCCTCCTCTGAAGCCGACAGGTGAGGCCAGGAGAATGGAGAACGGCCTGGTCAGTCAGCATGCCTACACCGTGACTGGGGCCGAGCGGGTAAGGCTCCCGTGGGTTGTGCCGGGCTTTCTTGCTCCTTGAAACGGGAGTCAGCATCACGTGCCTTCGGCAAGCCCCACCCAGCCTCATTCCTTCTATTCATCCAGAAATTCTGGTGCCCAGCAGCTTCATCCCCCAGGGACCCACCAGAGCTCTTGCTCTGCTTGCGCTGATCTCAGGCTGAGTGTCCAGCTAGATTGTGGGATGAGCCCAAAAAGAAAGAAGAAAGAACCACCGAATCCACTGGGGCAAGCCCTGAAGGGTTTTGTTGGTTAGGTACCAACTAAACTACCACCACAGATGCACTCCGAAAGACAGCGGCTCAAGTAAGACCAAGTTCATCTCTCTCTCAGGTAAGCAGGTAAACCAAGGGACACTTATACGTTCATATGGAAGGCACCCATCAGAAAACACACAGCATTTCCTCTCATTAGTCCGAACTTAATCATGTGGCACACCAAGGCCCAAGGGCGTCTGGGAAACATCCTGTGTAGCTGGGCCTCCCTGTGCCCAGCTCGACTTTATTCCCATGGAGGAGAGGAGGGCAGTTATTGGAGGACAGTGTTTCCCTTGATGCAGGAACGGACTTGGGGTGGACAAAATTGTGTGCATTATCATTTGGTCTGGAACACACGACTGAAGTCCAGCCCCCTCCATTCCCAAGTGAGAAGCTGAGGCCTGAGAGGGGGAGGTCGGGGTTAACACAGCTACTTGACACCAGCTGTGTGGTAACCATGCCCCCTGGCCTCGTGACGATTTCCCACATTCCCCACACACACCCCCCCATCTCTATATTTCCCACAGCTCTTGAGGTCATGTCCTCCAGGCCCTGAGAGACAATGTCCCAAGCCCCAGGGTACACTTCCCACAGGTGTTTATGAGCTAGAATGCAGAACGTCGGGTGCAGTTTCTGGCATGGGCTCTCATCTTTGCCTTCCTTCTCTCTGAGTCAGTCTGTCTCCTGTCCGGTGACCTCAGGCCATGTGCTCTGTTGTTTTGTGTTCTGGAGACTTTTCCACAAAATAGAGACAATATCTTCTGCCTTCTGCTTTTCTCCTTAAGGAAAGGCGTAACAAAATGCTTCCTCTGCACAGTACCTGGGAGACAGTAGGCACCTAATAAATGCTCGTGGGATTAACGGATGAGTGCGCTCGCGTGAGTGAATAAACGCATCCATCGTTGGCCTGTGAAGATGACATCACTGAACCCCCGCCTCCATCACAGAACGGATGTGAGGAGCTCAAAATACCTTTCCCACAAGCAAGGAAGGAATCACCCTGATTAACCCTGGCCAGGAGAGATCGTGGTCACAGTGGCCCCAGACTCTCTTCTCTGAATTCTCCCAAGCCCATCTCCGAATTCTCAGTGGGGGCAGCCAGTGCCATTGTCCTACCAGGCCACGTAGGGACACGCTGCTTCCCACTACTCCCCGTCCCAGACGTGGAAAGTCTAGGCTAGGGATAACAAGTTGGTTTCCTTGGGCGCCAACCTTGATCCATTGGCAATGCTGCTTGGACGACTGTGTTGACAAGACTGGCACTACTTCCAGATTTGGGGAAAGAGCCGTGATCGATGAGTGATCTGTGCTGGACGTGGAAGGAGCCAGGGCACCTGCATGACGTCTCCGCCATCCCTGGGAAAGGCCCTTTATACATTGAGACAGCCTTTGGGTTTTTTTTTTTTTTTTAATTTTTATTGTTATGTTAATCACCATACAGTACATCATTAGTTTTTGATGTAGTGTTCCACGATTCATTGTTTGCGTATAGCACCCAGTGCTCCATGCAGAACGTGCCCTCTTTAATACCCATCACCAGGCTAACCCATCCCCCCCCACCTAGAACCCTCAGTTTGTTTCTCAGAGTTCATCATCATGGTTCGTCTCCCCCTCCGATTCCCCCCCCTTCATTCTTCCCCTCCTGCTATCTTTTTTTTTTTTTTAACATATATTGTATTATTTGTTTCAGAGGTACAGATCTGTGATTCAACAGTCTTGCACAGTTCTTTGGTTTTAATCTGCTGTGAGCCATGAAACCGCTTCTCCTAGGACTAATTATTAACAGCCTGCGGGACTAGCATTTAAGAGATGCATTTGAGGAAATATTATCCTAGACTAGATAACCTGGATCACCTCTTGCCCAGGGGTACCCTTTCTCAGCTGACCAGGACCAAGGGTACAATGAGTAGCCAGGAGGGTGAAGCAAGCAAGTGCGCGTTCATAGAGGTAGTTGTGACCTTGGCCTTGAGTGTGACCCCTGAGCCTCTCTGCCACGGCCCAGGAACTTGACTTGGCTAAAGATTTCTCCTCCAAAAAGAGGAGGTCACAACTGACCACAAGTGCTAAGATTAAACCAGCCCGTAAATGCAGTGTGTTTCTTAATCTGCTCATCCTCCTCTGGGCGGGACACAGACAGGAAGATAAATGAAATTGGCATTTTTTATGATGCACCTGGCTCGGTTGGAGACTCCCTTGGGCAAGGGGGTGAGTGTTTATCTGCATGCCTCATTTAGCCCTGCTTTCAGCTCCTTCACTCGCTGGCTGTTCTTCTCCCTTGTGCCCATCTGAGCCCCAACTATGGTAGGCACTGAGGGTGGCTCATTAAGCTTTTTGGGCCACCGGGCAACCATTTCTCACATCCCTCCTCCATGGGCTCCATCAGGCACTGACGGTTAATAAATACACTGTGTGCAAGACCTGGAGTGCCCAGGGGTGGGGCAGGGAGGGGTGGGGAACCTGGGTCTGTGTCAGGAGCCCCCCCATCCCATGTAGCATTAAAAGCCAAAGCACCTTCCCCTACAGTACCAGCCAGATAGAAGTGGATGGACAAGAATCTTATCCAAGCCAAAAGAACCCTATCCAAGCCGCGTTCTTTGGCTCTTGTCTGACTGCGTTGCTCCTGCATGAAGTTGCCTTGGCCAGGTGGCCCAGGGGTGAGATGCAAGGTCAGGATTATGGCCATACCCGAGAGTGGTCTGGACCCTGGAGCAGCTGTATCCTTTATCTGCTCTCATCTCCAAATTAAGAGCCTGGCTTTCAGAGACTGGCAGTAGCTAGGATGAGAATTCTTCTTCTGCCACTTACGCTGTGGCCTTGGGAAAGTTGCTTCACCTCTCTGGTGTTCACTTTCCTCCTGTGTAAGACAAGGGCTGTATAAACATCCATGGGCAGTTTGAAGGACGGAATGCACTCCCCTGGCACCAGTCTCCGAGCCCCACCTCCACACGCGGGGTTCTTTTCCATGTGATGATACTGCACTCGAGGCTGTCTCCGTTGCCTCTGGTCTGGAACCACAGCAAGTGGGCCCCTTCCCTCACCCCTGCAAGGCCGCAGCCTCCACAGACGACCTCAGCACTCATCAGTGTCCAGCTAAATGCAACCACGCTTTAATTCCTCTCACCAGGCTGAGGGCTCCTGGATCTGGGAACGTGGGTTCAAAGGGTTGAGTTTGTTTTGTTATAACTTATCAATGGTCCTGGCCTCTGGCTTCCGTGGTCTGAAGGAGCCAGCCTCCATATCTGGGAACTAGGGAAGGAAGAAAAGTTCCGGCCATCAAGGTACCTGCTTTGCCAACAGAGGTGTGGGTAGAGGAGGGCTAACCTGGGCTGTCTTGCCCCCCAGGCTGTCCCACTCTTGCTCAAATCAGCCTCCTCCACATCCTCGCTCAGGGCCACGCTGTGGAGACCCCGGCACAGGTCCCAGTGGGCCGTGGGCAGGAAAGCAGCTACATCTGTGGAATAGGAATACAGGTGGGGACAGAGCTTGCGGGAGGTTGGGGACCCATCAAGATCTCCCCTCTGCAGCCCACAACAACGTCGCATGCTATTTATCTGCCATTATATCTCAGCTCGCCCACATTCCAAGAGGTGCTCGTCCGACATGATGAAGCTGTGTCTACCCTTTGAGGTGCTGAGCAGAAAGAGGGGCCGTTTTCTCCTCTCTCATTCCAACTCCATGCAGGCAGCAGAGACACATTGATTTTTTTCCTTTCATTTTTTTTTTCTGGCTGCAGCCAAATGAGGTCAGAAGTTAAATTAGTCCTCGGAGGTAAAAAGCAGCTGCATTCATATCCCCTCTTTCTGCTGACTTTTGCAGGAGAGCACTGACAGTTTCTTTTTCTGTTTTTTTGCAGATTCAGTACAGGAGGACTTGGGAAGACCTTATCCGCCTGTGGAACCCCTGGGGCAACACCGAATGGAGAGGACGCTGGAGTGATGGGTATAGCTTCTGAAAACCTCTCTCCAGCCTTCATGAAGGCCTGGTGTGCAGAGAGCCCCAGCCACAGGAGGACGGCATCTGTCTCACCTGCTGTGGATCTTACTGTCCAGTTCACACCTATGTGTGGCTGTCCGTCCGCCTCCCATTCCCATGATGCCATTCACCAGGCCTCTATTAGACCCCTACTGTGTGCTCTCTCCACTAAGTATACTGTGTTGGGGTGCTGTGGGGTGTGTACAGATGACAAGATCCAGTGTCTAGCCCCCGGAAGGCTACAGTTTAGCACTGTGAACCCACATACCCAGAATTAGTTGTTGTTTTTTAAAGGGTTGGGGAAGGAGTGGGACAAATATTAAGTTTTACTTGGCAGAGAGAGATGGAGAGAAGGAGCCTCATCCCATAAGGGACCCCATGGGATTTTGATCCTAATGACCCCATCAGGAAAAGATTTCATTTAGGGGGGAGTTGGGGAACTGAGGCAAAGATCTGGCCACCTGGGTTGTCCATCCTCCCTACTGATCTGGACTCTGATGTATAACTGGTGTCTGTACTTGCACCTTGCTTATAGAAGGAGTGAATGGAGCTGAGTGAGTGTCGGAGGCCCCTTGGCCATATCCCACACAGCTGCTCTCTGCCCCAGCTGGTCAGTGGGGACGCAGCTCTGTGGTCAGTGGCTCCCTGGGGCTGGGCCAGCATTTCCCAGCTGCCAAGAAGACTAATCCCTGGTCCCCATCCCTTGCTGACTAAGAATGAGATGACTGTCCCTAGAGGGCCAACTGGGGACAGCTTACCTGCTCCTCAGGCAGCCAGCAGGTCAGGTGGAGGCGATGGTGGGAAAGAGTATAAGACTTGAAATGCAAAAGCATTCAGACAAACAGGTGAACAGCACCCAACAGCAGTGAAAATCAATACAGTGAGAAGTGAGTTCTGGAAGGCAAATGCAGAGGTGGCCAGTGACCCTGCCCTACTTCCGGGCTGCCCAGAACCTGGCCTGATACCACAGGCTAGGCTGTGGCAGGGCCCACTCTGATCCCCTTTGAGCCCCTACAGCTGGCGTGTGCCTGCTCAAAGTGGGCACTTGGCAAATGGAAGATGAACGTGCACTGGAGCTGGGGATAGAGAAGGGGGAGCAGGCGGAAGGGGGGGTAGCAAGCAGCATGAATTCATAGAATGATCCCGGTGGGACCTCAGATGCCCCCTGGAACACAGAGCAGCTGAATCCCTCCACACAAGGGGAATGAAAATGCAGGACCATGAACCATGGACAGTGTTGTGTTTCCACTCACTCTTCCCCCTTCTTTTATCTTGCCTCTCTTCCTTCTTCCTTCCCAGGGGTATCCTTTGCCTCTTCTGATGTAAATCTTAGCAACTTCCGGCCTTCTCCAGTTCTCTTTCTCAGTCATTACCCCAAGCTGCCAATATGGCCCAGGGGGCGAGGTGGTTAGCAGAATCCCTGACTCGGGGTTGGCTGCTGGGGTTGGAGTGCAGGAAGGGCAAATGTCAATGACGCATCTGCCTGGGGTAGGAGAAGAGGCAACAGATTCCACCTCGTCTCCTGTGCTAAATATCACACGACTGGTGAAGGCAGCCGGGGCACCAGACATTAGGAAAGAGAAGCTTCCCATGGGCTGGCATGTTTAGGGCAAGCTTCACGGATAGAGTTGAACTTGAGTTCAAGCGGGAAAAAAAAGTATGATTCAGCTGGGAAGAGATCACCAGGTAGGCGGGGACGTGTAGACCACTGTGCTGAGCCAGGAATGCTAACTGTGTTCAGGGCCAACAGAGGAACCCGGGAGAGAAGTGCTGGGAGCCGGGGCCAGAGAGACTAATGCCAGCTTAAGAATCTGGGTTTAAACCCTACGGGCAAGGGATTTTCGAATGCCCTTCAGCAGGGCGAGACACGTGCCAAGCAGTGCTGACTCTGAGGGCCACGCACCTGGCTGTACTTAGGTTCACCACGTCCCCCCAGAAGCGGGGCTGGAAGAAAGTGACAAGGCCACATGATCACCATCTCCATGCAGGTGGTCGATGCCCTCCCTGCTCTCTAAAGAGTGGAGATGGATGGAGAGAGCCGGATGGCCTAATCTTGGCCATAATTGAAATTTCAGACGCACACACTTAAAGGCAAACTTGCATGAATCGATAGCATATTGATTTACACTACATTTATCTTCCCTTACACACTGCAGAAAATGTAATTATCCCTTAATTATAAAATTGCCATTTTACAATAACACATCTGACTGGCCCAGCCTGCAGCCCGTAGCCTGGCTGGTGGTCCCTGCCTTGCTCTCCCTCGATGCAAGATGCAAGGCACTCCTAGAGAGAGATCCATGACACTTTTGTGCCTCTGGGGTCTGTTGCTTATGAGCATGTCTCTGCTATGAGGAGCGGGCTAAAGAAGGGACAGCTGCTCCCTTCTGCCTATGAGGGCCTCTTCCTCCACCACAGACCCGAGGACTAGCTTCTAGAATACATTATCCCAGGGAACTGGACAACTTTATTAATTAAGCAAGCAGAAAACTATTATAGGCCCATGTGCCAAGGCAGTGGGTTAACCCCGTGATGATCTAACGGTGAGAGCCTCACTGAGCTCGTGGAGCTAGGAGTCCAGTGAGGGACGGCAAGAAATAAAGAAGCACTAGAAACACGGGGTACTAAGTGCTGAGACAGGAGTGGTAAGGGGCACCATGGGGGTTCCAAGGAGGGGCACTGACTCTTGAGGTGGAGTGGGGATACCACAGGGGGACAAGCAAGGTTTCCAACAGAGGTGGCTTTTAGGAGGAAAGATGAGTGACATCCTCAGGTTACAGGACTGAAATGAAGAAGACTATCCCAGGCAGAGGGAGCCTCATGGCGAAGGCCAAGGCAGGGTCAGGACAGGTATTTCCAAGGAGATGAAGACATTCATGTTCTGAGTGTAGAATTCAAGGATGGGGTGTGTGGGGAAGTAGGGAGCTGCTCAGGTAAAGCTGGAGAGGTAGGCAGAAGCTAAGGTTCTGTTTTGGGGGCTTGAACTTCATCCTGAGAGGAAAAGGGAAACCCTGATGTGTTTTCAGCAGGGAGATGTCAGAATCTGACTTCTGTTCCAGAAAGATCATTTTGATGGCAGTGTGGAGAGTGGATAGGGAAGTGGGCCAGACTGTGTGGTGGGAGACTAGTGGGAAGTCCAAGAAGGGGATGAGGATTCATGAACCAGGAGAGCAGCAGGAGGGATGGAAGTTAGTGGATGGCTTTGAGAGGGGTTTCAGAGGTGGACTCATAGATCATCACAATCTGGCGGTTGCTTGCCTATAAGGGATATAAGGGAGTGGCTTCTCGCAGTCCCACTCAGGCACTGGGAGAAGGCAGAGGTGCAGAGTGGGATAGGTTGGTTTCCAGGTCACCAGGGGCTCTGGTGGAGACATGGCTTGGCCTGTAGCATGTATCCATTTCAGGGAAGAGGATCTGGCTGGAGACCATTTCGGAAGCCACCAGCGTACAGAGAATGAGGAATTCTGTCACTACGTAGAATGACACCCTCCACGTGTACCCCCAGAACTAATGGAGGACAGGCCTCCTGCTGGGGCACATTTTGCTGAGACACAGTGCTTTGGAAGATCTCACCCTGTGGTCTGTGTCTCCATGCTCAGGCCTCTGGAATGGCAGAAAACCCACGGCCAACGAAAGGCAAACTGCTGTATGAGAATAAGGAAGACGGTGAGTTTTGGTATTTTTCTTTTAAAATTACATTGTAAAATTTTACCTATTGGCCACACCCTCAATCCCTACCCCTTTCCCTAAACTTTTGTGAGACTAGAGATTAGCTTTGCAGAGACCTATGTAGAGGAGACTTATTTTTTTTTCCCACCAAGACACAAAAGCTTTGGATGGGAAATTATTTGTGTGCTTTCTTTTTGTGTGAAAGGTATTTCAGTTCTGACATATTGGAACTTCTAGGAAATGTTAATGGTAAAAGGGAATATTGGCCCCAAAGCTTTGAAATCAATAGTTTCCTGAAAGCCAGGATGCCTGATTATCACATCTGTGTCTTCCACACCATCTTGTTAGGACCCACAGTGTCCCCCTGGAGCTCCACAGTCTTCCAAAAGAGCAATTCAGTATTAATCTCCCTGCCCTGACTCTAGAGCTCTGGGTGAGACATCAGTGTCCTTGCTCGGCAGCTATGTAGGACTAGGTGTTTTAAAAACACATTCTCAGCCATGTGCTCACTTCTTAAAGGATAATAAGGACATTTTCCTGAGAGGTTGTATGGTTTACTTAGTAACGTATTTAAATGAATTTAGCATGTGTGAAAAGGAGGCTGGGTCTAAGGAATCAAGAAGCAGAGAGACAAATGTAAAGTAGAAAGGAAAAGTATCTCCAATGTCTCCACTTTAATCAAAGCACAAGGTGGGATTTTATTTTTTTCTTATTTTCTGCCCTTTTTTAAAATTTAAATTCAATTAGCCAATGAAGTACATCATTAGTTTCAGATGTAGAGCCCAACAATTTATCAGTTGCATATAATGTAATGAGCACTGGGTGTTATACAAGGTGGGATTTTAGATGTTGAAGCCATTTTATTCTGATAAGGATCTCAACAATGAATTTGGCGAAGCATCCGAGGGAACAGCAGTTTTCCTAGCACCATGTAGGACCCAGAGCAGAGAGAGATGACAGCCATCCTTCATGGTCATGAGAGGGACATGCAGAACCCAGAGTTTTATTCAGTCCTGTCTTCCCGACCATAGGAGGGAGAAGTATACTTGACAGTGAGTGAGCCAGAACAAGGCTCTGGTCTTTGGGTAAGACAGGGGTAAGTCCATGAATACTGGAACTGATAGACAAAGGTAGAGTGGAGTGATGGGAACCCCCATCCTAGGAACAAAACCAGTAAAATGATGCGTATCTATAACAGGATGTCATGTCAAGATTTCCAAGACAACTTCTCCTGCCTGTTTATATGTAACCAATTTCGAGTCAGCCTAAACCAAGGAAACATGCCTCATGAAATATGGTCCCAAATGATGTTTAAGAACCATGCAACTCCAGGGCGCCTGGGTGGCTCAGTTGGTTAAGCGACTGCCTTTGGCTCAGGTCATGATCCTGGAGTCCCGGGATCGAGTCCCGCATCGGGCTCCCTGCTCGGCGGGGAGTCTGCTTCTCCCTCTGACCCTCCTCCCTCTCATGCTCTCTGTCTCTCATTCTCTCTGTCTCAAATAAATAAATAAAATCTTTAAAAAAAAAAAAAAAAGAACCATGCAACTTCAGGAAACACCACAGGTAGTTATGACATTGGTAATTCTGCCAGATGGAAGCCGCCAGCCCTAGCCCTGTCCTGGCTTCAAGTCTCAGCGGCCTTTGATTCTACACCATTGGCCTGAACTTGAAAGGAGAGGAATCAGCCAGTCTAAAGGGACAGCTGTTCTTCTCCAAGGGAAACAGTTGTTGGTGGTCTGGGTGGGAGAATCTCAAGTGTGCCTCCCTTGCCCTGTCATGCTCTCCCACTGTCTACTAACCTCCACCTGTCTCCCAGGAGGAGGACAGGTTCACTGCTCTTCAGTAATTACCCAGGACGGTGGGGAGCTGTGGAAAGAACTCTGGACAAAAGTCAGGGATTGGATTAAACCATCACTTTTCCCCATAAAGCCCCATCCGGACATAAGAGAGAATACTCCTGCCCCATGTTGGTTGGTATATCCTGCAGCAGCACAGAGAGATCCCAGAGGTGGGCACCTCAGAACCTGTCTTTGGGTTCCCCTGAGATGGATTTTGTTGAGTGTGACCTTTGGAGGGTCACATATTCTCACTGCACCTCCTGCTCCCCATTTGCCACACAGATGAGTGAAATAGCTCCCCGTGAACATGAACCTGAGTATGCTTACACATCCTCGAGAGGAGAAGCTATGCAAACAAGTTTGTGTGTGTGTATGAGTGTGCGTGTGTTTGCACCTAGACATGACCATTCCCTCTCCTTGGCACCTGCCTGTTGAGAATGGCTTGCTGCAATGATCCACAGGTGCCCCTCTTTTCAACCTCCAGGATCTTCACTCTGCCGGTCAGAGAATCTAGGCACCAGGAGGCCATGGGTGGACTCTAAGGAACTGCCAAGTCACACTTGGGCAGTAAATTTACTGATTCACCTTCCAGAGCCTCATCTGTCTGACTGTGGGGCCAAAGTCCCCTTCCCTGGATATAGCACATATCAATGAACTAAGCAAAATGATATATTGGGTCTATTCTTAGCAATTCCTTAGCTAGGTACACTTGAATGCATCATCTTGTTCAACCTTCGCAAGGAGGAGCCTCTGTGTCTCCCCATTCTCCTCTCAGAGCTTCCCAACCTGTGATCCAACCCTGCTGATGTGTATTGATTCATCTCTGTCTTGACTTATCTTCATTCGTCTACATATTTGAATCTACCTTACTTAATCACCTTACTTCTGTCTCTTGCTCTGGCTCTGATAAGCACACCTGGGTATTAGAGTACTATGAGTTGCCATCTCTCTGCCTGTTTTCCTGTGTCTCCTTTGGTGCTTGGGGATTGATGTCCTTTCAAGGCTCTGATGGTTATCGCCAATGCGCAAGCTCATACATACCCGAGGATTCTGACATTCCACTTATTATGATAAAAATAGCCCTCATCTTTACAGTTAAGGAAACATTTTCACCAAGTGGGGAATATACTTCCCCTCCTTGTTTTTAAGAGGAAGAGATAGAGGCTCACAAAATGAAGAAGCTTGTGCCATAACTAGTCACTGTGGGAACTGGGACCGAGCCTTAGGTCTCCAAATCCAGGGTTTCCAACACAAGTCACCGGAGCTTTCTGAACCAGTATGGCCCAGGTCTAGGAGTCATAGAAGTGAAGCTGAGCTCCACTGACCACTCTTTCTCATGCAGAAGGACTTCCGAGGGACACGCAGTACATCTTCTCTGTGCCAGAGGGCATGGAAAGCAACAATGGCGTCATATCCGTCAATGTCAGGCTGCAAAATTTAAAGGCAAAAGACAAATTTCCACTAAGCTTCAAGGTGTTCAAGGTAAGGCAGCCTTCATCAGGGCTTACCCTTTCAGACATTTGTGCAGTCCTTGGGCAGAGAGATCAGCTGACCAGGCTGGGAGATTTCACTAAACTACCTCAGAGATCAAACCCAAAGGGCTCTAGAGTTCACCTGGTTCAACTCTAAATTTACAGGAAAACCTGGGCCTGACAGGAGATCAGTCTTGACCAGACTCGCAGTGGGACACACCTCCTTCCAGTGTCACTTGTCAGCATTTCCTGGTATGCTGCAGGCTCAAATGCTTGTTAGCCAAAAAATAGTCTGGTCCAAGACCAGCTGTTGTAACAATGCAGATTCCTGGGACCATCCCAAACCTTCTGAATCTGAACCTCCATGTTCAGAATCTGAAAATCCACATTATAACAAGCTCCCTGGGTGCTGCTTATGTGCATGAAAGAGAATCATTGGCTAAACTTTGAAAGGAGTTTAAGGAAAAAACCAATCCTGGGTATAAAACCAGGAAGTATGTTTTTCTCTTGTATTTAAACCAAAATCCAGTCATAGCTTGGTGGTTGGCTTGCAAGCATCTGCTTGGCCATTCATCCAAGGTCAGGTTTTCCTCTCCACCTGGCCTCCCCTCCCACCATGGCACTCCCAACAAGCTTTGCAGTTCCTGAGGGACCATCCTTCCACCCACAAGTCTGCACACACCCCACTGTGAGGAGGTAATCAGGGAGTTCATTTTTTAAAATACTATTTAAAAGTGTTAGAAAAGAAAATCTGATACCTCTGCTCCCACCTCCTTTACCAAATAATTTAATGCATCCCAAAGACAAAGTGAATGGTTCTTAAATCATATACTCCACACCCTCTCTGCACTGATATAACAAAGACCCTGTCTTTATGGGGGAACTGAAGGAACTGAGGTGAAGTGACATGGTCAGAGTTAATGGCAGAGCTGGGGATTGGGCACCAGATGTCCCCCAAGCCCTCAATCAAACATAACCATCACCTCTGTGTCTGGGGTTCTGAATTTAGCATCTCTAGGAATAATCTTCATTCCTGTTCACTGAGCCTAAAGCAACAGTCACAACCATAGGTCAGCCCATGTGTGACAGGCTGAGCACATTTCTACTTCCCAGTTGCGTGAAATGAATGGAAAGAAATGGTTGGGGTTTGGCACAGTACTTCTGAGGGGCCTGAAATCTGCTGAGGCCATCACAGAACATTGAAAGATGCAGCAATGGGCAGTTGTTATTGTCCTCACCACCAGGCACCTGAACACTCTTCCATTTGGTGGAAGGCAGGGCCTAGTTTCCCACTGCAGCAACCAAAGAGGCCAAATATTTCCTCTCCCCAGCCCCTGGATGCAAAGAGATAGATGTGTGAGCCAGGCTTGTCTAATTAGATGCTTCTCTCATGTCTGCCTCCCCCATCCCCACAATCTCGGTCACTCTGGGTTTGGACTTTTGAGGTAGGACCAGCCAAGGGGTTATCCACAGCAAATCTTGGGGCCTGGCAGCGGCAGTGCAGGCAGATCCTGGGCTGGCATCCAGCTGTGTAGCTGTCCCCACTGCTTCCCACCCACTTTCCCAGCTGCATTCTCTAGACTTTTCATAAATGGCTTTTTGCTCATCCCACCATGGTTTGTTTCCCTTGCTTCCAGCCAAGAATCCCAAGTGATTCAGATGCCTTCTGAGAGGACTCTTGTCCTCGGAGTCTACTAACTCACCTCTGAGAAGAACAAAGGAAAGGGGCTTAGGAAGAATTGAGGCATCTGGTCTACCTAGCCAGGCTTGAATAGTTCTCTCTCAGCAAGAAAGAGTAGCAGGACAGGTAGTCCTGCTGCTCTCTCCTGATGAAGACTACTGCCCTCTTCCGATGAGAGACAGAAGCCCAGAGAGGGGAAGAGGGCTGCCCCAGGGCACGACTGGGGATGCTGTTCACATTGCCATCTATGAGTCTGGCGCCCCAGAGCTGGGCATCACAGCAGCCTTGTGTTAACTGAGTTGCCTCAAATTTTTATAGTTCAGGAGCCTGGCACAATTGTAATCGTACCTATTTTTAAATGCTGTCTAGCCCATTTATCTACTTTTTTTAGCCAGAGATGCATTTCTCAGCTGTACGCTTTGCCAAAAAGGCACTAAGACCCGAGGTCTCCTCAGGCTCCCTGGAGGTCCCAGTGGATCTTTCAGGATCCTGATTGAGTTAAACACCAAAGAACTGTCCAGACTATGGCAACTCAAGAGACACTTGGGCTCCTTTCACACTTCAGCTAAGAAATATGCTATGTGACTGCCAGCCACCAGGTTCTCAGAAGTCTGCAGGGCTCTGATGGTGTTTGTGGGTACGTGCTGCTTGTATGACCACTATGCATGGTGCTTGTTCTGGCCCTGACGTGGTCCTGTGACTCCCAACTCCTACGGGAGCACCGCTCTGTCTTCCATCACAACAAACACGGGTGGTGTCCGAATAGGCAGAGGAAAAGGACAAGGGTGGACAAGCCATTTCATCTTCACCCCAAAGCTCCCCCCTGCCAAGGCTGGGACTTTCCACCTCCCTTCCAGCTCACTCTTGGTCTCCAGAAAATCTGTCTGGGCAAATCAAGTGGTCTGTACACATAGTTGCAGAGGGCAGGGGGATCAGCAGGGGAAAAGAACCAAAACCCACACCAACAGTGGAAGACAGTGTTGGGTGGTGGGTCTTAATCACCAAGGAAGCAAAGCAGCTTACTTTATTCCTGCCTCTGCTCCTTAGACTGCTGGGACTGTTTGCACATCCATGAAACAGGTCCTAGTGTCTGCTTTCAGGGTTACAGGGAAGCAGCTTGCAGATGGCAGAGTGGCTTAAAAAGTGCATCCTCAGTGCTTCCTTCTGCCACGTGGGAAGACAGAATGTTGGTATTTCCCCATTTGGATGCACACATACATTCCCTACAAACACCGGGAAGCCTAGAACAAATTCCCGCCATATTTTACAGTGGCATGATGGAATAAAAGACGTTTCCTCGCATTGGAACTCCTGATGCTGGGAAACTGACATTTGATCTAGGTTCCGTCTTACCCCTGCCCTATTGACATCTCGCCCTTCCCTTGGTTTTATCATCATTGCTATAAAAAGTAACCACATGTGGCTGAGCTGACAAAGGGAGACTCTCCTCCTCCGTATCCTTTCCCCTTGAGTTCCCTACAGCCTACAACAGGTTAGGTTTTTTTTTCACATCTCTGCACAGGGAATGAGTAATGCTCCCATCCGGTGGGGTGTGCAGAGAACAGGCTGACCGTAGGAAGAAGGAACGCAAGGCCCTGTGCTGGGCTGCTGGGATCTGCTTGCCTTCGTGTTTTTGTTTAGTTCCTGAACCTGTCTTTCTTTTTCTGCCCTACAGGTCGACCCTCAGGTATGAATCAGCACCTTCTCATGCTTCTGTTGCTGTGCATTGGCAACTGTTAATGCCTCTTCCAACACCTGTAACTTTGGCACGTCTCTTGCTGTTCAGCAGCTGCAAATTCAGTCTTGCTCTGTCCTGTAACAGATACAAACTTAGAATCTCCAAATAGATCAACTGTGCAGGACATATTTTTGCTGTCCTGGTCTAAATGTTGGACCCCTCGAGCTGTTCTTTGGTTTGAAATCTAAGAGGGGCTGCAACCGTGAAACCATCTTCAGGAATCTGGCCTCTGACAGATAAGACTGATGCAGCCCGTTCTTTCCTATTTAAGATAAGAAGCAGAGCTAATGGCATCTTAGGGGGACTTTAGCCTCATATTCTTTGTCAGCCCCTGAATCCACCATAAACAGGATGCATGCTCTGCAAATGCACCTTCAGGGCAAATCTAGCTCCTCTTTCAACCAAATAGCCACCTCTCCTGAGCAGATATTCTGGCTTGGCGTTGGTACAGGGTGATTTAAGAGTAAGGATGGAGGACAGATGGAGTTACAAGCATGCAGACCCCTTAAATGGATGGGGGCCGTGGCTGCCGGGGGAGATGCAGGTGCCTGGGGACCAAGGATGTAGCCACAGCCAACAGGTAGTATCTCTAGCATGCTTCTGGGTCCAGGGAAGCTCCTCCTGGCCTTCCAGGGGTGCCCCAATAGGTAGACAGAGGCCAGGACAGGGGGTTTCTAAGCAGGGAATACTCCGAAGCCCAGGCATAAATTGGGCAGCAAGGAGGCCACTGACACCAGGGGCCCAGCCACAGAGCTGGGTTTAGGATCTGATTTTCATTTCCAGCATCCTGGTCATTGGAGTAGAATTTCTGGAAGGGCTTCAGGGAGGCACTCAAGTGCGAAGAACAAATCTCCAGAGCTGGAGTGAGGAGTGGGGATTTGACCCAAGAAAAGGCACAAGCCCCATCCCTAGAACTACAGGGTCAGGGCTGTGTGCCAGTAGGCCTGCGTTAATTTGATGCTGGGTCTCTGCACTAGACCAAGAGCCTCCCGGCATGCCACGTACTCATACTTCTGGCTGCCACTGAGCAAGTCTGAGCTAGAGGATAGGGAGCCTGGGCAAGGCTTCAAGAGTCCAATGGAGAGAGGAGGGCAGGAGAGCAGGGAAGCAGGGAAATTCTGGATTGTAGGAAGCACACAATCTTCTGTGCATAATGTCTCCCCATGTGCACATGCATGTGCTTACACACATACAAACCCAGAGACACAGGACAGTATTGGCTTTCTAGAGAAGAATTGTTCTCATCATTGCTTTTGCCAGAAGGGCTCACACAAGTCAGGCTCCAAACCTGCTGGGGCCACTGTTAACATCAGCAAAGTCACTTTGGAGGTTGCACCCAGCCCTTGCTGCATACCTGGGGACAGTGACCTATCTCCTGTCTCATCTTGTAGCCCAGGCTTGTTCCCACCCTCTGAAAAGAAACTCTCCCTTTCTCCCTGTTTCTTCCCAGGGCAGAGCTCACAAATAATCATTTCACGCTGCGTAACCACTCTAAATGGAACCCCCATGCTCGACTGTATTGGGGAAAATTTATTTAGTAAGGGGTTTTTATTATGTAATATGCATGTGACATCTGGTAATGGGAACTGCATTATATTTATTGTTTTATCTTTAAGAAAATATTGAAATAAAAGGAAAATGATCAGAGCCTATTATTCGCCAATGAGAAGGAATTCCAGGGCTCTGCTGGGAGACAAAATGGAGGGAAGGGAGGAGTCCAACTCTGCTGAGCTACACAGTCCAAAGAGTACTGTAAAAAGTTCAGGAGAGAAGGGGTGGCAGGGCCTCCAAAAGTAATTCAGTGTCGGAACAATTTCACTGGTTTCCATGGAAGTCTTTATTAGCAGAGAGAGTAACACCCAAACCCAGGATACTATGGGACCTAATGAGATAAAACCATGTACCATATCTTTTTTGCATTCGTTGCGGTGTCAGCATCTATATTAAATAACAGTCTGAATTTGTGGCATTTTGAAAATCCAGGTAAGCACTGTCTCCCTTTTCAGGGACTGTAATGCTGTTTTGGTGAATGGAGAGGGGTCTGGAAGGTGGTGGGTCTCTTCTGGGGCTGGGCCCATGCACACAGGGGGTGTTCTGATCATCTTCATGTTTTCCTCCAGTTCCAGCCCTTCTGGAAGAGGTTGCCACCCACCTTCTTTTCTCAATTCAGAAATGCTATCGAGGGGCACCTGGGTGGCTCAGTCATTAAGCGTCTGCCTTCGGCTCAGGTCATGATCCCAGGGTCCTGGGATCGAGCCCCGCATCGGGCTCCCTGCTTCGGGGGAAGCCTGCTGCTCCCTCTCCCACTACCCCTGCTTGTGTTCCCTCTCTCGCTATGTCTCTCTCTGTCAAATAAATAAATAAAATCTTAAAAAAAAAAAAAAAGAAATGCTATCGAGGGCATAGTTTTTAAAACCAAGAGCAACCTCACAAAGTACTTCAGTCTGAGCACTGGGACCTACGTGGTGGTCACCTCTGCCCACAGTGAAGCAGTTGGGTTTTTGCTCCGAACCTTCCTGAAAATGCCAGATGGTGACAGGTACAGAAATGCTGGGCTTCTGAATGTTTGATTCCACTTAATTTTATAAAAACACATTGTGTCATCCTGTGCTGCAGGTACTGTGTCAGTAGGGGACATGGCATGGGCCTTGCTTGCAAGAAGCTTACCACAAAGGGTGGCGAGAGAGTCCGAACCAACAAGTAGACCATGAACAGGATGGAGCCATTGCTCAAGAGAAGTGCAAAGTCATATGGGAGGACAGAGGAGAGGGATCCACCTCGGGCAAAAGAGATTGAGGAAGGCCTCTTGGAGAAAATGGCATTTGAGCTACTCCTTGATGGAAAACATAGTCTAATGCTTAAAGGAAAAGGTAGTGCAGGTAGAAGAAAAAAAGCATGAGGGAAGTGGGTGAACACAATGTCAGCCATATGCCCGGGAAGTATAGATAAGTGATGTCAGCCATATGCCCAGGAAGATCATACATGGCATGCAGGGCAGTTGTCTGAAATGTGACCAGGGGGTGGGGTGGGGTACATCAGGGAGACCGTGAAATATGGGCCTGAGAGACAGAGGCGAGTCATGGAGAGTCTTGAGTGCTAAGTCCATGGTCAAGACTGGGATCAACAAGTACACATCCTGCTGGGCACCTGATCCCCTGTTGGGCCTGAGGCAGACATTGCTATAATCATGGCCATCTTAACAGGTGAGCATGGATGGTGCCTCAGTCCGGCATACCAGATAGCCACTGTACCACCAGGGTTGGAACATAAGACAAAGCTTATCTGCGGTCTTGGCAATGGGGGTCACTGTACATGTGTATCTGGTTGTGAAAGGAACCATTTGCTAAATAGTTTGAAGACCAGATGGTGGCCAGTCAAAAGACTGGACAAGTGGTTATGATGCTTACCTGTCTGCTGACTGTCATGGTTGCCCACGTCACATCCCACTGTGCTGAGGGCCCTTCACTCAGATCCTTGGTGTAAATGTCCAGTGCCACCTAGGGTGTCCTCCATATACAAGCTTCCTTTAAATAGTGAGCCATTCATCCTTGTCACACTGTTTCCCTGTTTTTCTAGGAATCTGGGCAGCAATTTCAACCTTACAGCACCAAAGGTAGGTATGTGAAGGCTTCATTGGCCAGCTTCATTGGCCACATCCTATCCCCAAGAACTTCTGTCTCCTTCTTACCTCAGCACTGACCAATGAAAACAGAGACACCGTAATGGGCTGATGATGGCTCAAAAGGGCAGGGCAGGGGGGGAAAAGACCAAGCCTCCAAGGTCAGGCTGGACCCAGTCATCTTCCTTCCACAAACTTTGGTGTTCTCATTCCCCTACAAGTTTTATCCGATTGCTGGATGAAGCCTCCTACTCAGATCCAGGTGTGGGGAGTGGTTCTTGTGCCTTTGCTGTACCAGACAGATAGCTTCTTTCCTCAGAAATTTGATATTGACTCTTTTCCCTTTGATCCGGGCAAGTCTTCCGGAAAATGGCTCCCAAGAAAGCATCTTCCACAGATATGATCAACAGGTACAGTACTTAGCACGGGGATGAGTGATGGAGCCACCAGGCTCTTATCAGGATACAGAGAAGAAAAGTGACTTGGTGGGTCATTTTGTCAACCTCTCTCCCTGGATGTCTCCAGAACCGATCTGGTTACCAAGCCCTGGATAGAAGTGGCATCCTAGCTGGGTGACATCTGGGCTGGAATGCAGAGCTTGGTGAGGGTTGGGCTAATGATGGGGGTGGGAGGGTATTTTAAATCTTTAAACAGGGGCACCTGGGTGGCTCAGTTGGTTAAGCGTCTGCCTTCAGCTCAGGTCATGATCCCAGGGTCCTGGGATCGAGCCCCGCATCGGGCTCCCTGCTTGGTGGGAAGCCTGTCTCTCCCTCTCCCACTCCCCCTGCTTGTGTTCTTTCTCTAGCTGTCTCTCTCTCTCTGTCAGTTAAATAAATAAAATCTTTATTAAAAAATAAATAAATAAATCTTTAAACAAATAACTGGCAATACCCCCTGAAATCTTTCCTTCTGCTCTGCCACTTCCCTTGGCATCATTCCTCCCGGGAGCCAGCCAGCTTCAGAAAACACCAGCCGTGTTTTTCCTGCCAAGCCACCTATGTGCACAAAGGATTTTCTTAATGGTTTAATAAACCGTTATAAAGAACTCCTTGACTTGCCAGGATAAAAACAGCTGCCAAGGGCTCTGCACAATGGGCCTTTTGCCATTAATAGTCATGTTGGTTTGGGAAGTGCAAAGTCATAGATAGATATGACCATGTGTACCATGCCAGTCTTGGGCCAGGCAGAGGCCAGGGACAGGAAGGATGCCAGGCATTCAGAGGGCTAATGGGGTAACTAGGAGGCAGCTTAAAAGGGAATTATTCAGGCAGCCTGGGCCCAGAGGGAAAAGCAAGGAGAAATGAAGAATGTGCCTGTCGTGAGGGGAATATGTTTTAAGGAGCCGCTCAATATGGACCTCCTTGAAATCAATATGGGCCCAGGATTCAGGTCCACATCTGGGCTGATTCAGAAGGCACTTCACTTGATGCAAGACAAGATCTGCCCAGATGATTATCCCCAGTCTGTGAGCTCCCAAAGGCAGGGATGGCATTTTATGCATTCCTTGTCCCCAATATCTATCACTGTCCTTGGCCCCGAGAAGGTGCTCAGTCAATCTGCATTGAATTAAAACAGATTAGCTTCCCCAGAGCAGATGTCCAAACTAAGTTTACTGCCCCGAGGCAATCAGCAGGACCTAATTAGGATACCTGAGACCAGGCTTCCTTCAGGGGCAGATGGCAAAATCCGCAGCATGGCTCATGCACCTGCACATCTGAATTAAAAAATATAATTTGTCACATGACAAATGGTACAGATTCCCTCTAATCAGGGTTTTTCCAAACAACCACCAAAGGTCTCCTCGTTGAGGGTAACTGGTAGCCTAGATGGGGCCTTTGTAGGAATTAAAAGACGCATGCAGCTCTGTGCCAAGGTGCACAGCTCAGAAGTGGAATAGACTGGACTGCACCCCCTTTTCAGCCCCTGGCTGAGCACCCTTGAACAGGGCCAACCTGGCGTCATTCTGCACAACCCGTGAACTGTCCTCGAAGGCTGTATCCGCAAAGGAAAGTTGAAAGCAAAATGTCTGTGCACGCGCTCACTGAGTCCTCTCTCCTGATCTCTTGTATCTGTTTAGCCTTAAGTGAACTCAATGACACGCTACCACTACCATGAGTTACCTACATCAGCCGTGACAGTGGTGACGCTACTATAACCCAGGGGCTGCCTGGGAGAAAGGAAGGACATGCTCAGCCTCTGAGTCAGGTCATGGCCATCTATCCATTTATTCAATTGGCAAACACGTACCAAATATTCCAAGTACCGCACTAAGCTTTGGGAATGCAAAACATCAGTCCTCAGGGAATCTTATGTGGAGGTGCTGGAGACAGACGTGCAATTCTTTGGGTATTTGTTTAAGGCAATCTTCATCTCCATTCCTATCCTCATTTCCTCAAACATTTTGGTCCAGGTCAGGGACTGTCCTAGGGTAGAGAGACATGCAGAAGGAAGGAGACATGGTCCGTGTCCCAAAGCTACTTATATTCTAGTTGGTGACTCCACATAAGTTAGAGTTCCTTGCCAACGGCTCTGCAAGTTAGGTGCCATGATTCTTTGGAGGAAAAAACTCTGTTGATAGTGGGCGCACAGTGCGACTGTTCTGATGTAACCCAGCCAGTGAGATGTTGGAGGCATGGCCTGAGGACCAATTTCAAACACTGGCAGCATGTTTTTCTCAGGGGCAATGAAAGGGGTTCTCCCCTGAGGACAGGCTGTGGGGCTGCTCTTGCTGTCAGTTAGGTGGTGAAGCCAACCAACCCCGAGGACAGCATGTCTGTGGGTCTGTGGGGTGTCCATTCTCAGAAGAACCCAAAGAGACACCTTCTTCCCCCCGACCCCATCCCACTCTGCAAAGCCATCTGCTGAGGGACCTCACTCTGGCTCCTTCCCCCATGTGAAGCTCTCCCAGAATGCTGATGTCACATCAGCCCCTCAGCTTTTACCAGCCTGCATGTGAGAAATGGCCATGCACAGCACCGCTCTTCTTCTCTGTGGCATCATCGTGGAAGACGCCCCCCACAAAGCTGCTCAATGTCCCTGGGAGAAGACTGAATGCAGTTAACAACTTCAGAAGTTCAGGCTGGGAAAAGTTTCTCTCCCCTCAGCCTCCATTTCTTCCTGTTTTTAATCCAAGGAAAACCTTGACTTCCTTTATGGTTCAGTGGCTAGGAAGACTAATGCTAAGTAATGTGCTCCATTAGATCAGCTTCTCTTAGCCTAGATTCCTGACACTTTCATCTGCTCTGCGCGCACACACATGCTCATGCTCACACTCACTCTCTCAACAGTCCTATTTTCTCTCCATCCCTTTCTGGAAGCAGATGGGAAAACACACCTACAGGGCTGAGTCGATTCATTCAACACTTCTCCCGAGGGGTTCCCAAGTGCCATGTATGGTGGAGAGGAAGAAACTACTGCTTTCTGTCCAATAGCAAAGGAAGAGAGAAGTGCAAGGCAACCCACACGTGCTATCAAATGTCAGGAGTGATGAGCACTACAGACGTTCAGGGGGGGAGCATCACCGTGACCTGGAGCAATTGGGAAAGGCTTCATGACAGGCTAGATGGGTGCTGGGTGGGAACCGAAGGCTTGGAAGTCTGAGCACTTCTACAGAGGAAGGCAGGTGTGCCCCTCAGCTCCTGAGCACTGACGGGATTTCTGCGTTCCTCTCTTGTTTGGATCAGGGACTGAACATGGATGCCACCCAGCTTCAGAGCCTTCTCAACCAGGAGCTCCTGAAAGGTAAGGTCAGACCCCACAGGCCTACTGGCCCCACCCTCAACCCCACTGCTGAGCCAGTCTAGTGTCACCCCCACCCCCAACATTTCCATCCTTCCCGTTCTCCACCCCCAGGAACTCCAGGGGACACGTTCTCTTTGGATGAGTGCCGGGGCATCGTGGCTCTGATGGATGTATCCTTTGCAGTCTTCTCTCCCCTTCTCTGGCAGCTCTATGAGCCCGTCTGCTCTTTGGGCTTCCCTGGGGGTCTCATTAGGACATTAGGAATGCTTTTCACTCACAGTGTTTTCTCTTCTTTGGTTCTAAGGGCTCACGCAAGAGCCTGGGTTCCTGTGGATTCTATGCTAACTCACTACCTCTCCCAAACAATCATAGCAACAGTGCCAATGGTTGTCATTTATCAAGCATCTTGGCATGCCAAGAATTGTACTGGGATATATACTTTCCTTGTAGTCCTTGCAGTAACCCCTATGATGTAAGAAGTATGATCCATCACACGGTGAGAGAGGGGTTCGGAGAGGCTAGGCAGCTTATTAAGTAATCCCACAGCCAGTCCGAAGTTGTGCCTGGATTTGAAGAGTCTGCAGCCTCCAAATCTGTGTCCTAACATCATTCTGCACTGCCTCCTGGCAGCACCAATGGGGGCTGTTTCCCTCTCACCCTCCCCTTACCCTGGATGAGTCTTCCCTAAATCCCTTGTTCAACAAGCCCCAATTCAGTAAAGAGAACAACCACTGGAACTTGGAGAAAACACCTGGGTCTACAGAGAGCCGCACCCCGTTAGTGCTGCCAAGGCGGCGGAGGTCGGGGCGGGAGGAGCGAGCTGTCCGTGGGCACCAGTGGCCAGGCTGGGCATCAAGCCCGGGCTCCTGACTCCCGTCCTGCGCCACCTCCAAGGAGCTATTTCTCCCCTGCCCGCCCCCGGAGAGACTGGCTCCCAGCTGCGCCCTGTGACCCTCCCCTCAGTGTATGCAGCCTCCCTGGAGTGAGACTGATGGGGCTCCTCCACTGTTAACACGGCCCGATTGGGAACGGGAGGCCGGCCATTGTCGAACAAGAGTGCTTCTTGATGAAATCGCAAATCGAGCCCTGTCTCTGCTGGCCCTGGTTTGGAATCACCTGGAGACACTGCCCAACCTCCACAGGAGAATCAGAAGGGCCCCATGGCTCCCCACAGCCCCAGGGCGGGTCACCCCGGGGGAGGTGGTGTCTGCCGGAGCCCTGCAAAGCATACAGGTCTGTTCTACCCTTCTTCCCACCCACCCACCGCTCCCCTGCAGCAACTCAGAGATGGATTCTTTTCCTCGAATTAGCTCTTGTTAAACCCATTGTACTGCTACGGGGTGACCAGGGCTGGCTGTACCTCCTTCCCTCCACCTAGCTGCACCCACATGCTGCTTCAGGGGTTGCAGTGACCCTTCACGATCCTCCCCACTCTCCCCTGCCAGGGGCCCCACTCCACCCGGTGCAGGCTGTGTTCCGGGCTCTCTCTTGCCCTGGATGCACGTGATAATGGCCCCCTTTTCTCAGGGCTTCTTTCCCCTTCCAGTTGCCCGTTTTCCTCTGTAAAATGAAGCTAAGCCAGGCCCCTGCAGACACAGGGCTGAGTCTGCAGTTGGGGTGGGACCACGTCCAGGTGACACTGGACTGACAGAGCTACTAGTTGATGGATGGAACTTCTCCTGGCTCTGTGGGCAGGGCCTCTGCCCCCCGCGTGCTGCACGGTCCACTCTTAACGCCCCTCCAGCTGAAAGTGAACGGGTGGCTTGATCAAGAGCAGTTTGCAAGGCTGTGGGGCCGGCTTGTCCGCTGCTAGGTACCGGCATTTTCTCTTTGTGTCCCATTTAGCAAATTTCTACTGGGTGCTGCCCTACCTGCACAGTCTGAGGGGCGTGAAAGAAGAGGAACCCAGCCCTGCCCTCAAGAGGACTCACATCTTGTTCAGGGAGACCACACGTACCACTAGAAGACACGAGGCAATGCCCAAGCAAGTGGCAGGGTGAAGGGTACTCCAGGAGGTTGAAGGAGAGAGGGATCACCATGGACGGTAGCTAAGACTGCCAGCCAGCATCATCCCTCCCCAGTCCTCCCCACCCCCCGCTCCCTGAGACATTACCCCTGTGCACTTGTTCGCCATCCTATCTGCCAGGTACAACAAGATCACAGATGTGGCCTGTGGCCTCTCCATTGTTCTCAGGACAAGGTCTAAGCTCATCAGAACTGTACACAAGACCCTGGAGCAGGGACCCTCGTTTGGGTCCAGGAGGAGCCCTTGGACTCCTCCCACTCACTCCTTCAGCCCCCAGCTCTGAGACTTGGATCTTGGCCAGGACCGAGCACCCTGATTGTCCAGCTTCAGGAATCCTCCCTGGGAGGCCTCGCCTGCCCCCAGGCCCGGTTACGTCCCCCTGAGCCCACAATAAAAGATAAGGTGTTCTCGTGGGGCTATCCCAGGATGTATTACCTAGTCCCTGACTTAGGGGACTCACAGGGCATTGTAATGGCTGATCTATCCCCCCCCGCCCCATTAGATTGCAGAGCAGGGGCACCCTCATGTTCATCTGCTTCCCCCAGCACCTTTCTTAGTGTCTCATACACAGCAGGCACTTAAAAAGGCCCAACAAATGACCAAAGTAGTAAATTACCGAATGAGTGAGGGACTCCCGATTGAGGGCTTTCTATATACTCACCAAAAGCCAAATAAGGCCAGCAAACATTCTTGGGCTGCTATTTCACAGTGATCATTGCCCCCGGGAATCGGTGGGTCACATACCTGCTGGGGGTATTTTGCCTTGGAACAATTCCTGTGGGGCGGCTGAGCAGAGGCCCAACCGGGGAGCCCCAAGTCCAGTCGCGGGGCGGCTGCATGCTTCCTCCCAGCAAGTCACCTGCCCGAGCTGTTTCTCACCCGGGAAGTGCAGGGCTGATCAGGGTTCGGGTGAGAACCAGGGAGAGGAGGAAAAGTCCGGGGTACAGGAGAGCCGCCCTGTACAAGGCTGTGTTAGGGCCGCTCCCTCCTGCAGGTGGGCCAGGACCCAGGACGCGGTCCCCACCTGCCTGTTACATGTACTCACTACCTGTTACAAGGCACCCTCCTAAGCTCTTCCTAACCATTTGTTCATTGACCCCTAGCAGCAATCCTATGAGGCACGTACTGTAATTGGCACTGCACTGCGGGTGGGGAAACTGAGGCCTGGAAAGATGAAGTCACTTGCCCATGGCTACACATCTGGTAAATAGTCAAGCCAGCATTTAAACCCAGTGGTTTGGTTGCAAATTCTGTGCTTTTAACCACCACCCTATGCAAAGTCTTGAGAGAGCTCCACACCTCCCAGACACAGGAATCTGCCATGTGTCGGGAGCCCAGTCTAGGAGGTGGGGAAGGACAGAAAGGAGGTTGGGAGAGAGGAAGGTGCAGGCCTGGGAGAGGAACCCACAGCCCCACAGCGGGCAGCCAGGGTGGTCGGCTTTACCAGGTGGCTCCCCCTGCTGCCTCCCTGGGGCCTTAGCTGAGCTGCCCCTGAGCCCAATCCACTCAAGGTTTATTGGAACAGTTTCCTGGGGTGGAAAAGGGATTTCCAGGACTTCTCTCTCCCCAGGACTTCCTCTTTAAGATGGGTGAGGGCACTCACATGGACTTCTTGCTTCCTTTCCCAAATCAGAGTGTTTTCCAGAACACCCAGAATCACTCTGGAGTTTTCCTGAGTTTGGATTTGTGGAAGGCTATAAAGGATACAGGTAAAGCAGGGGCCATTCGGAGTCATCATGACTGGGGCTGTGGTGATGGTGGGGTGTGTGTGTGTGTGAGAGAGAGAGAGAGAGGAGTGCACACCCCTCGCATGCTGTAGGCAAGGCTGGTGCAGCAAAGCTGGACGGTCAGGAGAGAGCAGAGCAGTAGGCTCTGTGTCCTCCCCGGTTAACACCAGCCTCTATTGGCCTCCAGGCTCAGGACTCAGACTCCATCCTCCCCAACCTGAGTTCTTGTGTGCCAGTCAATTTTCCCAGTCGCCTTTTGTCTCCAAACAGCTCTAACTGTGTGAAAACACCCCATGTCATTGATACCCTCTCAGAACTCAAGCTTGCCTTAGACGCACTTCCATCTCAACCTCTGGGCTGTCAGGGTTCCACCCTCATGAGCAGGTGGATGCACTGTCTTCACAGAGGGTTTGGAGCTAAGTGAAATCAAATGTCATCTGTCTGCTTCAAGAAGGCAAGAGCTTTCAGTCCTAGGATGATGATAAGGATACGGTAGGACGCCTAAAAGCTTCAGGGTTCAGGGAGAACTTGTACTCATGTCATCTCATTTGACTGTCTCAACTACTCTGTGATCAGGAGTCATGATCTGCCCTATACCGGTGGGTGAAATGGATCACACAAAGGTTAAGTCAGAAAACTGCCACCTTCCTTGAGAAAATGTGAGATCAGAGTCCCCCCAGGTAAACACTGGAAGGAGATGCTCCACAGTTCTCCCTCCCGTGGGCCCCCAGCCTGGAGAGCAGGGAGAAGCCTCTTCCTGCCTTAGCACCTGTCCTCCCCTTTGTTCTTCATACCAGAGGGCAGTGGTTCTCAAATTTGAGCATGCACCGGAACCCTCTGGAAGCTTGTTAAAGTACAGCTTGATGAGCCTCACCCCTCACCCAAAACTTCTGATTCGGGAGGGCTTGGGTGGGGCTCAAGAATTTGTATTTCTAAGAGGCTTCTATGTGAGGCCAATGCTCTTTGTCTGTGGACCGCACTTTGAAAACCCCTGAATAGCTATAGAAAAAACGAAATCTGATAGGAGACCACACTGATGACTCCAGAATAATGAAAGGGAGACAGATAGAGAATAGCTGGAATCCAACTAAAAAGTCTTCAAAGACCAAGCAGATAACTGAAAGGGGCCATGGAGCTGACCATAAGAAAAGAGGGTGATTTTTGAATGTGGCGAGCTGGAGAGTGCTTGGCCTATCTAAAGGCATTCGAATTCTTATTTTATTAATGCTGCTGGAGACACCAAATATCTCTGGTGCAAGGGGCCCACAGGCCACCAGGCTCACCCCCTTGATGGATGGTTTGGCTTGCAAGGTTCTGCTTGACCCCCAAAGCTTGCAGCCATGGCCGTTTGCCAGTTTGCTGTTGTCTGCTGTGGGGTTGGTGCCCCCCAGACCTCATAATTAGACATGTAGGACAACCAGGCCCAAAGAGAGCAAGGTGCCTCTGTCTCACCCACCTGTGGCCACCTTCTGACTGTGGTCTCCTATCTGAGGACCAGTCTCTTTCCTAATCCACCAACGTAGGACTGAATCTCCCAGTTCCAGGGACCACACTTGCTCACACTAGCGGCGTTCACACCTAAGACCCACATGCAGTAATGGGGTTGGGAAACAAGGTGGTTTCACCAGGTCACCAACGGGGAGAGGCCTGATGGATGTAGGGCTGGGAGCAAACTCCAGGTGTCCTGGAAGCTCCCTGTTTACATGGGAATTATCTGATAATTATGAAGGCTGAAGTACCCCCAGAGCAGTCAGTGTCTTGAGTATCTGGAGTTGGTATCTGGCCAAACTCCACAACAATGTCACTGGGGCCCAGCAGCCAAGAAGAAGGAGGCAACAAGAGAACCATTAAAAATATGAAGTGGAATGAATGGGCGCCTGGGCCAGACTAAATAGGAAACAGTGGTGGAAGGCCACCACTCCAGGCGCATTTCTCAGACTTTGCATGTCAGAGGACCGGACCTGCTCCCAGCTTCCTCCGGCTCACTAACCCACCCTGTGGCCCAGACTTCCTTGCAGGGACCTCCATCAGCAATGAGCTGCTGGATCTCATGACCCTCCGGTACAGTGAAAACAGTGGCAGGGTCAGCTTCCCTAGCCTGGTCTGCCTCCTGTTGGGACTTGAAACCATGGAGAGAAAGTGTCACCTGGGTGACATCCTGGAGACCTTCACAATGACCAAGAAACATAGGAGAGGATCAGGAACGCACTCCTGCCCCAGGCCTAGGCAAGGCCTCAGTAGCAGGGTGAACTGGAGTCTTGCATGAGGAGCCCTTGCTCCAAGAGGCAGAGCCAACCTTAGCCTGTGTAATGGTATAGTCAGCCTGGGTCCCCTGCATCCCTTCTGTACTCTTTCTGTCCAGGACATTCCCTTATCCCAGGTCTCTCATTTCCTCATCACCCTATTTAGTGTATTTTTTAGGATCAAGGTTAATTTAACTCACTGTGTCCCCTCTTCATGTTGTTTACCATTTAAACCTACACTATAGTCTTGCAATGAATGATTAGGGTCTCTGCTGAAGGAATTCACACACAAGTGAATAGGTGGGGGCAGAGGGGGGGCTTTCCCAAGGCTCCAGAAATTCAACTATATAGGTCAGATGTTTGGACACTTCTTAGCAGCCTACCCCCTTTTTTCCAATGAAATCCTATGTGAAACCCCAAGCCATACTATAGTTCAAGAGTTGTGTTGGGGGTAGAAGTGGGGTCTGGCCTCATCCTAATCCTCATCCCATCCCCAGCATGAGGCACCTCTGCAAACCCCACAGCTCTGAGCCAGGCAGTTAATAAAGACTGAGAGAACAGAGCCCTGGGAGCATAAAAGAGAAGGGTGAGGCATAAACCTCCAGAGAATTCTCAGTTGGACAAGGGGGGTTCCCCAAACTGTGCCCATAGAACACTTGATAAGACAGGCCCATACAACCCCTCAGCTGTATGTGGAAGGGTGCAGAGTGCAAGGGCATGAGAAGAGGGAGAGGCGTGTGTGGGCCAGAGTGGTCACAGAGAGCTGTCCCACAGGTGTGGGGTTTGGCTGGGAAGAGACAGGAGGGAGGCTGGGCACACTGTGGAGAGTGAGAGAGTACTTTACATAGAATCACTGTATTTGCTTTTATCTCCCTTGACCTTTCCTGATTCCTCTCCTCCTCTTTAGAGACTTTCCGGAACCTCTCCAAGGATGGAAAACGACTCTACCTGACAGAAATGGAGGTGAGGTACTTTCCTCCCCAAAACACAGGACAAAGTCCCAGGCCACCTCTCCTCTCCTGATTCCAGGGGGAGTTTTTCTCCCTGAGGATATTGGATAGTCTGTCAAAGGCCAGCCAAGCTGCTGTCCCCCCCTGCCTCCAATTAGGGCCTTTATATATTGCTGGCTGCCAAGGCTGCTTTAGGATCTTGGCAGACGGATTTTATTTTTTTCCAATAGCTTAGTAAAGCAGAAGATTATGTGGGAGTCATAAATCCAAGAGGGAATGAAGAACACCTGCTGAGCTCACTGTATATTAAACTTATTCCTACTGAGCTTTAGAAAGAGCCTCCTGGCCCAGCCAGCTGGTCGACATCAGCTATCCCTCTCATGCCTAGCTACTCAGGGAGTAGCAAAAGATATGCAGTGATGGGGGCTTTGAGACCCCCTGCTGGGTTGGAATTATCTGGAAAGGTTTGATGAGACTAGACTGAGATCTTTCAAGGAAGGCAGTACCATTTGCCCTGCTCTGTATTAAGCAAACAAATTTTAAGCTATGTCATAATGATGATGCCTATTTCTCAGTGGATGAACCTGGTCATGTACAACTGAAGCGGGGAGTAGAGCAGACTCCAGAGTCCAGGTAAGACATGGCAGTTCTAGAATCATTTCCTTCTAGGAGCACAACTCCTTGTCTCCTCCAGGAACTGCACACAAGACTCTTGCCCCGAGAGCAGCCTCCCTAGAGATTACAGAGCCCTTATCTGTGTGAGCCAGGGCTCAACTTCTCAGGGCCTCTGAATTTCAAGGCCAATGCTGCAGGCTTCATTTAAACCATGGGTGGAATGACCAGTGGACATTTATGAAAGAGTGTGGCCTGAAAGTCATGAGTGAGGGATTTAGAATTCTTATTTATTAATTCATTTATTTTTTATTGAGCTATAATTGATATTTAACAATGTGTTAGTTTTAGGTGTGCAATATAATGATTTGATATATGTATATATTGTGGAGTGATTACCACACTAAGTTTAGGTAACATCCATCACTACACATAGTTACACATTTGTTTTCCTTGTGATGAGAACTTTTATAATTTACTCTCTTAGCAACTTTCAAATACATATACAATATAGTATTGTTAACTATAGCCATAGTGCTGTACATTACATCCCCAGGACTTAATTATCTTATAGCTGGAAGTTTGTACCTTTGGACTACCTTCACCCATTTTGCCCACCACCCCCACCCCCCACTTCCAGCAACCATCAATCTATTCTCTGTATCTGTGAGTTTTGTTTTGTTTTTAGATTCCACATATAAGTAGGATCATACAGTATTTTTCTTTCTCTGATTTATTTCACTTAGCATAATGCCTTCAAGGTCCCTCCATGTTGTCACAAATGGCAAGATGTCCTTCTTTCCTATGGCTGAGTAATATTCCTTCATATATATAATAATGTAATGTATGGTGATTAACATAGCAATAAAAAAATTTAAAAAAATATTCCTTTGTATATAAAATACATTTTCATTATCCATCCATCTACTGATGGACACTTAGGTTCTTTCCTTGTCTTGGCTGTTGTAAGTAACACTGCAGTGAACATGGGGTACACATAACTTTTCAAGTTAGTGTTTTGGTTTCCTTCAGATAAATACCCAGAAGTAGTTGCTGGGTTATATGATAGTTCTATTGTTAATTTTTTGTGGAAACTGCATGCTATTTTCCAGAGTGGCTGCACCAATTTACATTCCCACCAAGAGTGCACAAGTGTTCCCTTTTCTCTACATCCTTGCCAACACATTATCTCTCGTCTTTTCTATAACAGCCGTTCTAACAGGTGTGAGATGATATCTCATTGTGGTTTCACTTTGTACTTCGCTTATGACTAATGATGTTCCACACCTTGTCATGTACCTGTTAGCCATTTGTATGTATTCTTTGGAAAAAATGTCTATCAGTCCTACTTGATTATTTTTGCTTTTGTCGTTTTTGCTTTTGGTGTCAAATCCAAAAAGTCATTGCCAAGATCCATGTCAAGGAGCTTATTCCCGATGTTTTCTTGTAGGAGGTTCATGGTTTCAGGTCTTACATTCAGGTCTTGAATCCTTTGTCAGTTGATTTTTGTATGTGGTATAAAATAGCAGCCCAGCTTCATTCTAGAATTCCTAATTTGAAATTCCAAAGAGGAAAGGCAATCACTCATCACAGGAAAGGCTAATGTGTGGAGCAACAGAAATGATAAGACCCTGGGGAGATGCGGGCTGGGTCCAGCCTCAGATCTACCATTGCCTCACTGTGCAGCTGTTCACACATCTGTAGGCATCAGTATCTATACCTCTAGCATGAGTGTGCTGAAAAATTAATGCCCATGTCACATTTCTTCTACGTGTTTATGTTCAGGGAATAGACCCTAGAGACACATAGTCCACACCCTACACTACTGTAGCAGAAGCCCCAACAGTCTGCCAGAATCTTCCAGGACTGGGGTGCTCAATATTTGTGCTCCCCCTGATTGGACATTTCTAGGCACTAGGTATTTTTTTTGTCTAGAGGCAACAATCTACTTCCCTGGAACTTTCCACCCATGCTTCAAGTTCTACTCTGGACCACTGTAGAAAAAAGACTGCACAAGCCAGACCTTCACATCCCTGCAGATAGCTCTGCTGCCTCACCGAGGCCTCTCTTTACTTATTCCTGCTGATTCTCATCTGAAACCTATTGGTGACCATTTCTATATGCCAATGTCCCTTTGAAATACACAGTTCTGCTATGCAGCGGTCCTGTGATCAACATATTCGGGGACCCGATAATTTTTGTAAACAGCATTTGTGTAATCTCCCAACTGTGTACCTCAAAATCAAGAGACAGACACTCTCTCCATAAAGAAATGATATTTTAGCATAAATATTTCCTGATGAACCCTTGGTGCTTCTTACTGAACACAGGTTAACAAACATTGCAGAGATCAAAGTTAATTAGATTCACCTGTATTTTCTTGAATCCCCCTTTCATTTCTTTTTAAAAATAGGGCATGTGAGTATTTCCATTCTGCCTGATTCCTATTCCAATCTGCATGATTTCTAATGTCAGGAATGATTCTAAGCTAATTCAACATGCAGGACCTAAAGTTTGAAGTTTTGAAATAACTGGACTCTTTCTCATTATCCTTTCTCCTACGCAGGGTCCCAATTCCCTCTTAACTAATTTTTCTACACTTCCTTTTCTGAACATTATGTAAGAAGGAAGTATAATATAAGATGTATGGTTATGTGTGTCTCAGTCTCTTTCACTAATGCCTATCATCATCCCTAAGAGTGTTCCCTTGTCTTCCTCATTAATCACGGCCCTCTGACATCATACGCTTAAAGTAGATCTACTCACTCTTGGCTGATGGTTGCTGTGCAGAATTGGAGGCAGGAGGGTAAAGAAGTTCTGCCTCCAAATCTACAAACTCACTTGCATCTATAACCATCTCCCACCTTCCTCCTATTATGCTAGGGGGCATATGTCTCTGAGGATGTTCTGGATCTCATTACCTTCCCCCTTCACAAGGACCTGATAGAATGAATTCTCTCCTCTGGGTTCTGAACACTAAATCTTTCTCTCTCTCTCTCTTCTGGAGTCTTCCAATTCCCATTGAAACATGCTTATCTTTTTAAATTTCCTCCATCTCCTATTCCCTTCCAGCCACAATTCCATCTCTTCCCTTTACAGCCAAACTTCATACAAGAGCTAATTGTCTCCACATCCTCACCTCCCACATTCCCCTCAAACTTCTTCAATTTGGATTTTTCAGACATCGTCTCTCTCCCTGACTTTTGCATTGGCTCCCTAACTGATTTTCCTATATCCACCCACTTTGCTTGAGTCAATTTCTGCAGTCTAAGCACACTTTTTAAAATTCACATCCGATCACTGTACTCCCCAGGTTAAAACCCTTCAATGTCTTCCTATTACTATTTGGGAAATGTCTGAAGTCATGAACGTGACCTGTATTATCTGGCCACTGCCCACTTACCTAACCATACCTTGTATCTCTCCTCTTTCCTGCGCTCTATTCCTACCATGCCAAAATTACCTTTATTTCCTCCAATGTTTCATTCTTTTCCCAACCTCGTGTCCTTTGCCCCTATTGTCTGCTCAGCCCTGGGGTTAGTTACATAAGTCCCGATCCTTTGTGTCTTAACCCCATTGGGTTCTCGTATTATTTACTCACTATCACACAACCCTGATCACAACATTCAAAACTCTTTGTTGTTGCCTACTCCTTACATTTTTTTAGGGTCATATTGAAATGTAATTCACACATCATACAGGTTATCCATTTGAGATACAGAGTTCAGTGGTTTTCAGTGTAGTCACAGAGCTGTGCAACCATCACCACAATATAATTTTAGAACATTTTTCATCACCACACAAAGAAACCCATGCCCAATAGCAGTTACTTCCCATGTTTGCCCCACCCCTCTAGTCCTGGAAAACCACTAATCTGCTTTCTGAATCTATAGATTTGCCTATTCTGGACAGTTTACATAATTGGACTTGTGCAACACATGGTCTTTTGTAACCAGATTCTTTCATCCATGTGGTAGTATGTATCAAGACTTCATTTCTTTTTAGTGTCAAATAATATTTCATTTTGTAAATATACCATCTTTAATTCATTCATCTGTTGATGGACATTTACTTAGGTTGTTTCTACTTTCTGCCTATTGGGGATAATTCTGCTGTGAATGTTTGTATACAGGTTTTTTCATGGATGTGTGCTTTCATTTCGCTTGTGTGTATACCTCGGAGTAGAATTGCTGGGTCATTTGGTAACTCTATGTTTAACATTTTCAGGGACTGTTTTCCAGAGCCACTGCACCATTTTACATTCCCACCAGCAGTGAATGAGAGTTCCAACTCGTCCACATCCTTGTCAACACTTACTGTTGTCTGTAATTTTTATTATAGCCATCCTAGAAAGTGTGAAGTGATACCTCATTGTGGTATTGGTTTGCAGTTCCCTGACTGCTTATGATGTTGAGCATCTTTTCAGTGCTTACTGACCATTTGTATATCTTCTTTGGAGAAATGTCTATTCTGGTCCTTTGTTCATTTTTAAATTGGTTTATTTAACTTTTTGTTATCCACTTGTAAGAGTTATATATATTATATATTCATTCTATTTACAAGTCCCTTATCACCTATGTGATTTGCAAACATTTTCTTCCATTCTATGGGTTGTCTGTTAAGTTTCTTGGTTATATCATTTATAGAACACAAATTTTTAATTTTGATGAAGCTTAATTTACCTACTTTTTTCTTGTGTCACTTACACTTTCAGTGTTGTATACAAGAAATCATTGCCTCATCTAAGATCATGAATATTTACTCCTGTGTTTTTCTCCTGAAGTTTTATAGTGTAGCTTTTATATTTAGGTCTTTGATCCTTTCTGAGGTAATTTTTGTAGGTGGTGTGATATAGGAGTCCAGCTTCGTTCTTTTGCAAGTATATATCCAATTGTCCCAGCACGGCTTGTTGGAACGACTTTTCTTTGCCCCATTTTATTATCTTAGCACCCTTTTCAAAAGTCCATTTATCATAATGTAAGGATTTATT